AGCTGCCTTGTTTTCTGAACACTATCCAGTTTGTGGCTGAGGCAGTGTTTCTGTGGAAGAAAATAGTATGTGGTCACACATGTGAAGGCTTTATCATACATATGCACTAAGAAAAAGGTAGTGGTTGAACGGACAAGTTCTGGCACTTACTAACTCAGTCAAATAATATTTTAAAATCGTTTGGCATGTAGTGGGATGTGGTTGGACATATAATGTTTATGGGCGATTCCTTTGCTCTGAAGAGAGGTGGAGCTGTAAGATGCCTGAACGCCTCAGTATGAGCAGTCCTGCTGAAACCACTGGAGATGTCTATGATTAAAATCAAGAACGGTGATAACTGTTTGCTAGGTAGAGATTCAAGTACAGTTACTGGGATTGTATGCCTGGAGGCCCAGGTGTCCCAGTGCCCTCTTCACAGACTGCTTTTTAAGTCACTTAAGTTCAGTTACTTTGTAGCCCTGATGAACATATACTCAATTTGTTTTGGATAATACAAATTTTGAGGTTTTCATCTGAGTCAGTCTACTGTCACACTGCTGTGTGGTCAAGGTAGGTTTTATTCCTGAAGTTATGGTCAGAGTGCAGGAACAATTATATATATTTCTATGAGCTCTTTGTCCTAATCTTGCCCAGTAGATGGTACTGTTGGCCATGTTTTGTAATTTATTTTGAAGTTGTTCATTAGGTGATTTTTTTTTAATTTGTCTTCTGCACTTCACCTGCTCTTCCTTTTTCATCCTTTTTATTTCTGCCTGCTCTCCTAAATATCATTTTTACCCTGTAGAAAACAATAGTAGGCTTTATTCTGATTTGATCTCTGTGAGGTCTTGTGCACTTTTGAAAAGCAGAAGTAACAGTTGGTTGAAATAGTTTGATATTTGTTGCTCTGGCTTAGATACATACAGCAGCAAGGAACTAATTTAAAAACTGAATTGTGTATATTTTTTTTCCCAATAGATTTGCTTTTCTAAGAACTGATTTGTCATGTGATCGACTGTCCTCATTCTTTGCAAATTTATTTGTATTTCACATTGATTGATAGATATACTTAGCATTTTTACCAGATGAGGAACAAGATAACTAAAAGCCCTTTTAACATATAATTCCCCCTAAATAAAGCTAAATAAAACTACAGAGTGCCTTCCAACCTGCATGACAAAACAGAGAACCTTTATTAGAAATAAGAAAGTGCTGAAGCCAGTGGAGAAGGGATAGAGGCAGTCTGCCTGTGATGTTATGCGTAGTCAGATTCTGGTCCCTTTTCACTAAAAAAAGTGAATTTCTGCAGTTGAGCACATGGTGTGCAAGGCTGATCAAGGGCCTGGAGTACCATTTTCACAAGAGGAACAGAAGCAGCTTGTGTTTAGCATAGTAAAATGAAACCTAGAAGTGCAGAATCCCTCAAATCAGAGGTATACCCAGAGAGTAAGTGCTGGGAAAAAGAAAGAACAGAGTAATGTTGGGTTAAGAACAAATGAGAATAAATTGACTATATTGAATAATAATAATAATAAATTGAATATATTTAAATGGGAAGTTAGAGGAAGGTTTTTCAAGTAAGAGCTTTCAGAAAACTGTTTTTTAGAAAGTATATTTAAGAAAGGGGATTTCATTAGAGTTTGCAAAAAGTGCATACACTTCTGTTTTGCAGCTGAAGAGTCTATGAAGTACTTTGTCCGGTACAATTGCCTGCAGAAAACAAAGGTTTTGTTACAGTAATTCATTATATTATATTCTAATTCTGTGGACATTTTTATGCAATTTTAATTTTTTAAAAAAATGGTTTATAGTTAGCAGTTTTGAATCCTGCAGAAAAAGCTAACATACAAATAGTCAGAAATGGTTCAGAAAGTATTTGTAGTGTTTGATCATTGTATGTTTAAACCTTGATTTTCCTGAATGTATTCTTTTGTTGAATGAAAATTAAAATGTTCCCAGGGGTTGAATTGGCACTCAAATAAGCTGAAGTGCTGGTATATCAGGAAATCATTTCCTGAGGATGTGAAAATGTATCTCAGCATCAAGTGGAAGTAATGTTTGGATGGAAGTTACTGTTTAATTTCCTTTTGATCCTTTAGCAGGAAACTACTAAGCAGGGCAGTTAAGTGAGTTCTGTGTTGTATACTTAATCACTAACAATTGTACTCATTCTGCCAACACAGTTTACGATACATGTTAAACGAAAAGAACTGCAGTAAGTTTAAAATGTGCATTTTTGCCTTTGTGGCTCATCTGTAGGAAGCTCTGAAAGTGAAACTTTCTACTTAATTTTTACATTTATTTGTATTTATTTTACTGTAGGTTTGCTCAGCAAAACTTTTGAGATTTCTTCCTCTTTTTCTTCTTATCTTTTAAGACCATTGTTTTCTCTGGATAGAATAGAGGATTGATTTTCTTTTTCAGAGCTTACTTAATGTTTGCAAATAGGCATTTGGCAAAAGTGAATTAAATTCATACTCAGCAACATTTCTAACTTATTCTTTTAAACACTGAAGTGATAAAAATTAAGCTACTTTATGAGATTATTTTAAAAGTACTTGGTAATTGTCGGACTTTGTTTCCATCTGTTTTACCTTAATGTTTTCCATCCATGTTTGCTTTACTGAAGACAGGTTTAAGGAAAATGCCTTAATCCAATGCAAATTTATATATTTACTTGAGGAATTTTGTGACTAAGAAAGAATTTTTTCCTTTTTTCTTTTCCTTTGTTCTTTTTTTTTTTTTTTTTCTTTTCTTTTTTCTTTCTTTCCTATTATCTTCTTTAAAGATAGAAGAGGCTTAATTTTTTTTGGATGGACACAGACACCACCACCATTAATATAAATCCCTTTCTGTCATCCTTCAACAACAGACATGGCAGCTCTTGTTCTGTGAGGCCTTTGTGCGATATGTTACTCTGCACAGATATCTATACTGTTTTCAAGCAATTAACCTGTGTCATAAGTTTTCCATTGCTGTTCTTCCTTGACTAAAACCAGAGCATGACTTGCTAGATCTGAGGCATTTTTCTGGTCAGCTGTTGAGAGCTCATTGTGCAGAGGTTTTAGTTTGGAAAACAGTGAGCTAAACCAGTTCTGTCTGCTGCAAGTTCATGGCTGAACGCTTGCGAGGGTTAAGCAGGAGGCCCTTGGCATCCATAGAGACAAGGCTGTGAAAAAAGCAGGACTGTAGGAGTCAGACCTGGCTGGTGGCCTACAAGCAGTGTCACGCTGTCCTGCCCAGTGAGACAGGGAATGGTGGTCATGCCCAGCTTTAGCCCTAAAGCCTAAGCCCAGTTTAATATGCTATACTATTTCTGCTGTGAGCATCCTCAAGTAAAATAGTATCCAGGAGCAGCCTCTCTGCAGTCATCTATTTTTAGGTATTTGAGGCGTGTCAGTCAGCCCCCTGGAGTCCGAAGGGCAGGCTAGTGTCAGAGTGGTGGATAAGGGCTTAACACAGATCAGGCCATACAGGAAAGCTTTGGATATCAACTGAACTCTTCAGAAAGACCTTTAGTGCGTCTATGTTTGTTGTGGCCAGTCAGCCGCTGAAGTGCAGCACAGCATTCAGGTCTGTACCTGTGTCTTCCTGCTGAGCCAGCTGCTGATGTAATGTGCTTCATAGAAACAGTGAGGTTTTGCCTCTAGTATCCACCATTTTCTGAGGCAGCAGACAAAGCGCAAGTAGCAAAAATTAGCTCAGCGAAAGTAGGAACCAGATGGGGTGCTGAAGTCAGCTGTGAGACACAGGGATCCTCTTCCAAATGGTAACTCTGTTTCTCTTCATTGGAGCAGCGTAAATGTCTGTCCACAAACTTGAGTGTGAGCGTGTGGTGTTAGGGTATTTAGTGTCCTTTCAAAGCTGAACTCGTGGTCTTTCAGTCCAGATGGATTTGTTGGCAGCTTGTCCACAATTGCATTTCTGTTGCAAACATAGCTGATTTTAAGCAAAAAACTTGGCTTTCATTCAGAACCACTTGCAGACCACAGCAGGGCCCAGTATAAGTGGACATGCTTCATCCTATACTCTCCTGAGGCGCGGAGGGGCACAGTGCCAGGACTTTCCTGAGGCACAATGCTGGGCAGTTTTTCTCCTTATTTACTCAATGTAAAATTGCCTAGTTAGTGATACAGAAATATGCTTAACGCTACTGCTCTGAAAAAGCATTCCAGGAGGTAGGTACAGGGGAGCTTTGAAAGACTCTCCCAGACCAATTTTTTTCTGTTGATCTTCTTTGATCAGAGCACCTCACTTCTAGAGACCTTTGATAGAGCTCGCATAGTTACACCCCCTTTGCTATTTAAAGTAGACTGTCACAGACAAAATACTGCCTTCAGTTCAACCCATACACCCAGCTGGGCCTGGAAACCAAGTAGTGGCTGGGAAGCGGGAGGTTTATTTTCGTCTGGTAGCACAGTAATTATTACGGCATTTGGAAGACGCTTTTCTGCTGGCGGCAGGATGGTATAACTCACAGTGATGCTGTGTAAGCACAGCATGTGGGATATTGTTGAGCCTTGCTTCTGGCTGACAGTAATATCACATTCAGTGTGTAATTAAACAGTTCATAAACTGCCTTGAGATGTTTGTTTATGGGCACTTTATAGCAGAGAAGTGCAGTGTTTTGCAGGATGCTGGAATTTTTGTGCTCTGCAAAGCATTTGTATTTGATGTGCCTTTTCTTTGACACAAATACTTAGTGACTAGAGTGCATTGTTTTGCTGTTGATAAAAGACGTACTGCTAGGTGATTTTCCTGCAGATTTCTGTTACTGATTTTTGCTTTCTGATATTTTAGCTAAATAGCAAACTACCTGTATCAATACTTTAGTAAACTATAGTTTTAGATAACAAAATGAGTTTGTGTTTTGCTTTTCAGAAACAATGCTTGTTTACAGGGGGATAAGCAGAAACACTTAGAAATTGGGTAATATGGTGAGGATACTGTATAAATGATGATGTAAGAAAGTGCTAGTAAATTTTTGCTGCACTTAATGCCACTTGTTTTGTTTCTACCAGTTTAGAGTGAATGAATTTGGAGCCCTGGAGGTGATTACAGATGAAAATGAGATGGAAAGTGTTAAAAAAGCCATGGCTACCACCACCTGGATGGTTCCAACTGCTCAAGAAGGTCAGATAAGAAGTCACTGAAGTTTTCTGTTGTAGACTGTAGTTTATATAATGTACCAGTTTTTCTACAAGATTGCCCCCCAAATTAAAATGAAAATGAAAAACTTATTTGCTTAATGCAACAAGTATCTCTGATGATCCTACCTGTTTCATTGGATGCTGATAATTATGAAGTAAATGTATTTTAAGGTAAAAGGAAATAATTCCATTGTTAAACATCTGAAGTTGAATTATGGCCACAGTTTTCTCTTACAATATTTTTTTTTTTTAAGTTTAGAATTAGTATTTTTGTGTTTAATTTCAAAAGTAGTCAACTTCTTACTCTAAATTGTTCAGATTTTTTTTGCTGTTATTTTTATTAAGCTAGTTCTCCAGACTGCTCACAGACCTACCTGACCTCCTACAGTGTTCATTTCTGTCTGTAAACAGCCTTTGTGTAACATTAGTTGCTACTCAACTGCTACCACCAAGCTCAGTTTATGTCTCTGCACTTTTTCCTTGCTTCTGCTGACTATACTTTATCACAACATTAAAATTAGCATGTAATAACCATTTACATTTATCATGAGTGGTGACATTCTAATAGTTTTGTAGTGTCTGTCTACATAACAAGGTGCAAAACAAGATACAGTGTGTCCTTTTAATAAAGTATTGATGTGAGAAAACGTTTCTAATGTCCAGGGGAAGTTGGTTTACATGGTCCACAATTCTGAAAATTTTGATACAATGATGGAGCAGCATGAAAGAATATCACAGCTGTTTTTGTGGTTGCTTACAACTACTTTTTTTTTTTTTTTTTCCTTCTTTTTCTATATTATATTTTATCAATTTTCTTTTTGAATATGCATTCTACAAGTTGAGAAACGGAATTTGAAATTCTGTTTTAATAATCATCAGTAGCCTTTCACAAAACAGAATAAGCAAAATCAATGAAAGTATTCTTCTGCTGTTGCCCCATCATCATGTGACTTCTATAAATAACTGAAACATTTATATCAATGGGAAAGTAGCTTGGACCTCAGCAAGAAGGTCTGAATCTTCACATTACTACTTTTGGTCTATAGGTTTCCAAGTCAGTACTTTTAAAATATTCAAGATTCAGATGTGTGATGAGAGTGACAGTGACATAATAGTGTAGTAGTGCAGCAGATTCTCTCTTGAGAAGACTGAGAGATTACAGTTGCCTACAATAGAACATATCTTCATCCCCTACTGTCCAATAAGCCTGAAAAATCTTGCTACTGAATTCAAGTGTGTTTTTGGGCACATAAACATCTTAAGCAATCATCACAGATATCTTGCACAGTCTTTGATTAATTCGTTGTTCCCCAAAGATATAATACTGCTAAAATTTTCAGTTATGTGAGGAAATGGTTGATTTGGACTGCTAATGACTCTGGAGAGTAAATATATCACATAAATAATATACTATTTGAGTGGAGACAGTCTGCACACAAGAGTTCATTTGACTCAATTTTTAAAGACAGTTTTTGGTGTTCAAACAAAAGAAATAGTGACTTGGAATTTACCTTTCGGGAGTACAAAGTGAACAGCCTGCTTTAGGAACTGGAGAACTTCAGTGCTGAATACTTGACTGTGAGCAAAAGTAACAGCAAACTCCCCTAGGCTACAGTCTCCCGAGAGGAAGTCATAGCTTAGGATAAATTACTAACATACTGTTTTAAAATCTATTTGCTACAAATTAGTTGTTTGTTTGTTTGTTTTTCACTTTTGGTAGACCTCGAGGTTGTTGAGCAGTAGCTGCTACAGTAGAAGACTGAAATGCAGTTAGTGATTTATTTCCATAAGTAAGGTATAAACTATTAAAAGATAACTTCTCCCCAGATGACCCTACATGTCAAAAATGAGTCATGTCAGTGCAACATGAGGTGATGAACTCTGCAACAGCAACTCTCTAGATAGTCAGCACAGTTCCTATCACAAAATTCACTCTTTCCATGAGCAGCAACTTCAAGCAGTGTCAGTGTGCCAGTGATGCCAGGAGAATGAAATCAGTAGATTCCTTCTGGTGTTTTAATATGAAAACTTATTGGGAATAAACCCCATACAGACATCAGTTTTCTGTTCTTCATTCTAACAAAAGTGGCATGACTTCAGTTTTTTGTTTGCTTACAAGGCTTGCTAAACATCATTGGAAATGTATCACCTCTACCTAAGTGAATTTATTTTTTCATTGTGCAGCCTTTTCAGAAAAGACAGGGATCTCCACAAAGTTGAAGGAAACTGCAAAAATGGATGGACTTGTTTTCTGTGAAAACTGTTACCACTATGGTACTGTAGAAGAATTTGTTCCTGAAGGGAAATTTTGCAGCCAAAAATGTGCCCAGCAAGTAAAAAACAAGTAGGTACTGTTATAAAGCATAGAAACAAAGAATTTGGCGTAAATGCAGCATGAGATAAAAGTGGTGGGATAAAACATTAATGGTGTGGCAGCCATGTTTTGGTGAGTCTCCAGCAGTTTATAATGTTCTTTCATTGTTTTTAAATTCAGTGAGTTATGAAACATTTGCTTTTTGTCTAATGCTGATGTTGAAGGCGGTCTTCTTTACTCAGAGAGTGCTGTGTTCTGCTGTCAGATGCAAACAGCAATACAGTCTACGGGATGTATGAATCAGTGTCAAACTCCCACCCTGTTTCATAATCACTGGAATTAAGATAATCAGTAATTAGATGGTTGGTGTGGTAAGTTAATTGTAATTAAGTTCAAGAGCTGTATTATAGATGACAGTGAGTAAAAACATGAATATACTGTGGTTTCTCAGTTCCTTTTCTTTGAGCTACTGCAGTTCATCTCATCATAAATGAAGCCTTGACTTAGTGGGTCCATTCCGTGTTGCATTCTGCATTACAGCAATCTTTAACATCTATGTTTTTGTGCATTTCCCCCATTTTTAGTTAATTGCTTCGCCATTTTCTATTCTGATTGCTTGTTTAGCAATTTGTTCAGTCATGTATCAACTTTCTCCAATTGGATTTGTCAGTCTTAATGATTACCTTTTCTTTCCTTTCTGTAAACTGCCTTGCAGTCCTAAACATTTCACAGTTTGCTTCTTTGCCAGATTTGGTGGTATGTGAGAAAAGACTATTTAAAACATGCTAAACCTGTTCAGTGCAGGCTGACAGCTGTCCTTTTGCAGTTCTATTGTTTGTCTTTCAGCTTAATTTTTTGACAGATGTAATTTTCAGTAGTTTTTCTAAGAACATATTTTTCATAATGCCATAGGACCTACAAGCACTTTACCTTTAGATTTACTTACATTTTACTTCTGTTATGAATATGAGAAATGAAATAATATTTTTTTTATCATTGTGTTGCTCCTGTAATAGAGAACCAAAGGAGGAAAAGCCCAACATGGAATGCAATGGGGATGATGAATCCAAAGTCATTCGGAAAAGAAAAACAAAATTACCTCTCAAAGAAGAGTCCAGGGATAATGAGGAGAAGAAAGAGAATCCCGATGAAACTGTTAGTATGCATCATAAACACATTTCTGCAAACATTTTAGTAGGAATTTTGCCTTATATTGCAATATCAATAGCTGTGTCACTGTGCAAGTAGAAGTGACTTCGTTACTCCATCAAAGACACAATAAGTACTTTGTTCACTTTTAATTATGCCTCCTCAGCACATTCTAACTGTTGACAAGTGTTAGAAACTGCTTTTTTTTCCTCTTCCTTCCTTTCTTTTTTTTTTAAGAACAGAACAAAAGGAACGTAAAGGAAAACTGATGCCAATCCAGAATTGTTAGAACTGTAGTATAGAAAAACAAAACAATGTATTTCCCAATGCCTGTTACTTGTTTACACATGAGTAAACAATTATAGACTAGTAATTTATTTGCAAAGAAAGTTCTGTTACAGTTAAGGAGAGTATACTTTTGATTTTTGTAACGTAATTTGCCTTAGAAAAGCATAGCCAACAGTTACCAGGACTTTCTTTGATTCAGAAAGGGACATATGCCAATTGTTTGATTTTGGTGTTCTGACTTATGGTTAGTGGTGATTACCATAATCTCCACGAGTAATTCTAAAGATATAAAAACACACTAAAGCAAACAAAGTATCCATGTCCTGCTCTGATTATACTTATAGAGATGAGTAATCTAACCTCCAAGACTTCCTCACTACAAGGAAATTCATGTGGCTCTTGCTGTCATTGCCCTAGCTTGTTCTGGAGACTCTGGCTTGTGGTGACAGTTGCTACTTAAAACTAAATGCTGGAACTTAGGAGAAACATTTCATCTGTGCTTGAAATACTTTTCTGCGCCAGAAGAAGCAGCACACAGAGTCTTATCTGCTTTGTTATTTTTAGCAGTGGATGGGTTTAACAGTAGGAGTTGTTGTCCACTGTCAACCTCAAGGTGGCTTCCACATTTACACACACGTTGTCTTGTTCCTTGAAGGCCATACGTGCAAAATTTCTCACTCCTCTGTTTGGATATGAAGTATTTCCTGAAGGAGTAAAAATAGAAATGATAAATTGACTGGGATTTGGGTTTGTTTTATGCTGCAGTGTAATGCACTTTGGGGCACCTTTGTTTTTTTCCTTCTGGAGTTATTTTTCATCTGAGAACAAGATTTGCAGCAGCTTCCCGTAATGTTTGTTTTCCTCTCAATAGCTGTGGCATTACTGAGAGGAGCACTGTTTGGAGGGAGAAGGGGAAAACACTTGTTACTTGTTACAAGCTTGTTACTACACAAGCAGTAAAATAAATAAAAAGGATCAGTGCCATTTTATGTTTGCTTGAGTAATTATACATTTGAACAAAGCAGAAAAAGCTATGCAAAAGATTTGCCTTCACGTTATTTTGGAAGCACGAACATATCAAAGGTACAGCTATTTATGTCTATCTCAGTTGGTCCTACTGAAGGCTCACTGATCTGTCCCTGGCATAGACAAAGCTATGCTGGCTGAGAGCCAGGTGCTGGGAGTGTTCTGTCATTTCCAATGTGTTTGCTGTGATTTGTCACCCGTTGCTTGCTTTGTTTTTATTAGACATCTACAGGTTTGTCAGAGATAACAGAGATCTATCTGGAAGCCGTTTAAATGAAGTCAAAGTTAAACCTCGCATGTCTGTTTCTTAGCTGTTAGACTTCTGAACTAACGTTTGTATTCTTTTTATTTAGGAGGATAAATCTGAAGGCAGAATTTTGAGGGTCTCGCAGAGAGCCAGAAGAAAACGAAAAGGGGAAATAACAGTTTTGAAACAAAGTAAGTTAAATTATGAAACCAAATCTCAAGTGTCACTTATTTATGTGATACCCATCTCTTGCTGTGGATTGCCAGCATTGCTTCACCAAATTTTTATCCACTATTAAATACAGTTTTGCCCATCTGCAAAAAGACAGTGTCAGTGTTATTTGTAGTAATTAAGTTGTAAGGACTGAAGAACTCTGAGAACAGAGTGGAAATGTTGGGGATATAAAATGACTCTCGGAGATTGATTGCCTTTTACAAAGAGCCAGTTTATATATGCCTGGCAGCATGGAGTCATATAGTAAGCGTAAATGTAGCTGATGCACAATTTAGATTTTTTTTCCATCCCTCTAAAGAGTGCCAATATTAAGGGAAATCAGACCCATTTTGTTCCCAGATGTTGAAAGACATGTATTAAGCAGGAGTGAAAGTTTCCTTTTCTTTCCTGGGGGATCAATTTTGTATCTATGGTATGGCTGGAAATAGACACATTTATGGAACTGTTTAGGAATAATTGCTATAATCAGTCCAAAGGGAAATATACTGCATGAAGTGGCATAATAAAACATTTTTTAAATGAGCACTGTTTTTTCAAGCTGTTCACATGATAGATACTTTTTGGAAGATTCAGAAAATCAGAACTCACCAGAAAGCTACATCTTTGCTCTCCAGGGTGTTTCTTTTGGTATGCTGGGAGCCATTACCAGAAGTTGCCAAGTAGCTCTGCTGCACAGTAGGTATATGATACACTGATCGAGGATGCAATGTGTAAAAAAGTTACAGAAGATTCTCTTCCTGAGCTAGAATTACTCCTGAAATATAAATACCATTTCTGCAGTTGTATCCTGAACAGAGACTGTGTCAAGTATATGGGATACAAGCACAAAGCTGATGCTGACTGGATGCTGCTGTCCACTGACAGAATGATTTGTATAGATTTGTCTTGTTTGTTTGTAGGGAAAATATGTGTTCAGAACCAAGCGTATAACTGTGTATTATTTTGCCAAGCAACACATCTCTTAAATAACAGAACAAGAACCCAGATAACAACTGGGTTAATCACAAGTAAAATGCTTTAAAAGCATTGAACGATCACTGTGGTTCTGAATTTTGTTATATTTTGGTTGAATTATGTCTTTCTTTGGGACAGTTTGGCATCACTATTGTTATGGTTCACATTTTAAATAAAAAACACTTAGCCAGAGTATTATTTAAGAGGCTTATTTCTCTTGTGAGTAGCCTGAAATCAGAATCAGACCAGGATCACATTGTAGTTGATCAGAAATTCTCCTGCTGACATGAGCTTATGATCTGAATTGCTAAGCTACGTGCATGGAGGAGGCATTTTAGACAGTGAGCAGCAGAGCAGAGTGGAGGTATATGAAAATAGATGTGTACATGGCCAGCCTCACAAACCATCTGTTTTTGAAGTTCCTGGCTTTTGCTAGTGCAGTTAGTGCCTTATTTTGGAGCCCTAAAACCTGCTGCTCACTGCTGTTTCCTTAAGATGAACTATAATCAATAATGCATATGCAAGTATATGCAAATGTACATACTACCTAGTTTCTCTTTTATGTTAATGAAAAAAATGAGGCTGGAAAAAAAGGACTGGTGAAAGTTCTGATGGTCTGAAAAAATTACTGTTAAATCACTGCCTTTCTGCCCAAAAACATCAAACTGCATAGTGAGTACTGTCATAGAATAAAGTGCTTCAACTAAGGTTAAAAAAAGAACTGACTGCTATCGTGACTTCTATCCAATTGAAACTGCTTTACTGAATTGGAATTTTCTTTTTCTGAAGAAATTTTTTAAAATATAGACCTACTTTGTATGATTTGATCTCATCTTCTTAAGTGTGTTTGCAAATTGTACATCTGAATGCTTTTATAGGAGCAATAAGAGAAAAGAGGCAGAAGGCAAGATTATGTATATTGTTCTCATCACATGAATGAACTTTTTCTTCTTACTAATCAAGACTGGAACTGATGGAAATGATTCTGTACAAACCTGCACGTTCATGGTGCCTTAAATCTACACAACTACTGTTTTCTTGAAATAAGTCCCAAGAAATACCATGAATGCATTTAATAAGACATAGATTTGAGATAGATATGCTATAAACATTTTTCTTTTTTTATTTTCTTAAGAAATTAACAGAGAAATCTTTTTTTATTCTATCTTTTACAGCTGTATCCTCTAAAGGGAAGCAAGTATGGTGTTGGGCATCCTATCTAGAGGAAGAAAAGGCTATTGCAGTACCTACTAAGCTTTTTAAAGAGGTATGACTTCTGAAGTTGAGATCATCAACTAGTGAAGATCAGGAAACTTCTAGGGAAATCAATTGAAATAAAAATAATGAAGTGTTACACTTCTCTAGTGATAAATGTATGTGATTAAGGCAATGCATCAGCAATCATCGAAGTATTCAGTGTGTAAAATTAGTTATATTTCTCTGCTTTTTCAAAGAAATGTGTAGTTTTAGTTAAATGCTGTTAGCTGAGACCATAGAAAACAGCTGCTTTTCCAAAGTCTGCAAGTTCTAGTCTTTCTTTGTAATATCTGAAGCTAAAAATCTGATATGTATCCTCATTTTTATGTGACATATCATTCCCTTTAAACATGCTTAGAAAGCTGGTACAAAGGTCGTCTTTCAGCTTGTTGCTTTGATTATATTACCTGTTTTTTTGTAGCTCTTGCTGAAGTTATATCTTTTATTACATCTGATACTAGTTTGCCTTGTTCCCATTTTGCCTGTCATCTGATTAGATGTCACACCATCACCTCTTGCTTGTCCTTTGCCTGCTACGGTAGACTTTGTCGTTTGCTATTTCAGTGGTTTTGCTTGTGCTGTCTCTTGCTCAGATGAGAGCTCTGTATGCAAATCAGCAAAGCTTTCGTGCTGCTCTCTTTTGCAAAAGCCGGCAAAACATATGAACATTCTCAGCTACTGTACTTCTGCACTGTATAATTCTATCTATAATTTTTGATAATTCTATCCTTAACTTGGAGTCTCTTGCATCCATTTGTTTTTCTTTGCTTTACACTCCAACTATTAAATCTCTCTTGCACAGAGATTAGCTTTTCAGCTTACATGTGTGTGCAGCTGATCTTTAATTGGTTCTCCTAGACATTGCTGAGATACAAAATTGATTTAAAAAGTAAAGAATATTGCAGTGTAGAGAATCCAAAATTTTCTAAGTGCAAGAATGACAGTTACCTGACCATGATTTGTTGTGTCCCCCTGTGCTGTTCACTGGTTGAAAAACTGACCAAAAAATCCTGGTAAGTAGTGTCGCTATCTGAAATGTAGATTTCAAAAGTGTTGCTCTGCCTGTCTGAAGTTCCACGAAACGCTGCTGCAGCACACAGCTTTTTATTTAGTGTACACTACTTTTAACCCTGTAGCAGAGAGAAACTTCTTAATACCAATGAGAAGAGGCCAGGTAATATTACTTCATTTTACAGAGGGACAAGCAAACCACATGAACAATAGTGTTAAAACAAAAACAAACAAACAAAAACATACCCAGCAACAATTTTGAATCCTTGTTTCTTGTTTGGATTTTGAGAATTACTGTGTTTTTTTCCAGTTCAGAAGCAGTAATATTCAACAGGATTTTTTGTACTCTTTGTTAGAAATGGTTAGCATAATGGAGAAGCCTTCCCACTACCTGTTACTTAAATCTCAGACTCACTTCAAGGCTGCAACTGACAAGATCTTATTGTTCTGAGAAAAGGAAATTAACTGACCGTTGAGTTTTGTTTTTCTTCAATCTCCAGTTCCCCTAACACAATCTTCTGGGTTTTGTCTATGTTCTTGCACCAAAGAAAAACATTTCTAATTTTCATTTGCAAGCTGCTTTTACATTTACTCTTTTGTTCTTCTTTCTTTCCTTAATAATGTATCTTTAAATGTTTCTTATAAAGGAAATGCATGATAACTAAATTTGTTACAGACTTTACCTCCGGTGCTGTATGACATAAGCATAATGTACAAAATTGAAATCTGTTAAATAGCATTAAAGTTATTGGGCTACTCAAAGTTGCTTGTTATTTTATTGTAACAGAAATAGTGTGTTGCCTTAAAAGTTTTCAATTTGACAATGGAAAGCATTTTGGATAATTCATGTCTCATATTTCAGAAAATAGCTGGGTGATATTTGTGTAATCTTTGTCACACTGTTTGTAGAATTTGAAATTTACAATGTATAATATACCCATGAAGGAAAAAACAGATCTGTGTCTTAATTGTTTTTTTTCTTCATATCTGCTTTTGCAAAAACTCTGTTACCTTTTTGGGTACTGTTCCTCAATTTCTTGCTATTTCCAGCATTTCATTGTTACATTAAAATATTTTGTTGTGATGCAGTCTGTTGGAACTGCACGACTGTTATATCAAGATGAGCTTGAAAAACTTCAGTTTATTGATTTAAAAAAAAAAAATTACTGTTTTTACTTTCATCTTGAGTAAGTATCCAGAATTATACACATAGTGTAACTTTGTTAAATGTTCACAGGGAATAAAAACCTCAAGCATGGCATTGCTAAGATGAAATAACTTTTCAAATCCTTGTACTTTAGTCAGCCACTCTGATCTCTCAAACTGAGCTCTACAAAATCTAACTGGTTTTTAGGACTCTTCATCTATTAGCTGGCCCCTTTAGGCTGATTTCAGCTGGTCTAGTTCTTCATTTACCTTCCCCTTGACTCTGTATTCCTGCCCCTGTGCCTCATACTGTATTTTTTTTCTCCTGGACATATTATTCAGATGAATTGCAGCCAGAGCCATCAAAGAGAGGATTCTCATCCTTTCGTGTAGAGACCTACAGAGGTCTCACCTTTCATTGACTGTAGATGGCTGGATAGCATGTATAACTTTTAGGTAGCATAAGCTAGGTAAAACAGATCCTCTCTTTGTGTTTCTCTGTATTCATTTGCCAGAAGAGTTTTGGATATTTTGACACAAGTGTGCTCTGTATTTTTATTCACTTTCTTATTCCTCTACATTTCTTCTTTTGCTTCTTAAGATTTTGAGTGAATGGATTGTATGTTAACTGTATTTGATTTTCATTTGGTAATGCATATGTTCTTTTTGTATAAAAGTTTTTTGTTAGTATTCTAAGTTCAAGGAAAATCTGTGATGAAAGCATGCAAAAATAGTTTTAGCATCTAACTCTCTTCTATAAACAAGCATTGCCTCTTAGGGTAAGAAAAATACCCTGTATCTTGCTAATCAAAGACGGCAACAAAAAGAAGGCCAAGCACATGTAATACTTCTCTTGTGTTTTATCATTAACTGTTTAGGACATAAAAAACTCTGGATTTAGTAACTCATAGAAAACTCTTTCTGATTTTATTCAGCTTTTTTTTTCTGATTTTCTTCTTTTCTCCCTTCCTTTCTTAAATTTAACCTTAATATCTGTAGCTCCCTTCTTTAATGAAGAACAAGGAGCATGATACAGGGAAGCCAACACCTTCCTGTTGAAAATATTCATTTCACTTTTTTTTTTCCTAGTATGTTTTTCTGGATTCATTGTGATGTGATATAAGAATCATAGAATGGTTTGCATTGGAAGGGACCTTTAAGATCATCTAGTTCCAGCTGCCCTGGTTATAGGCAGCGACACCTCCCTCTAGACCAGGTTGCTCACAGCCCCATCCAGCCTGGCCTTGAGTGCTTTCAGGGAGGGAGCATCCACAACCTCTCTGAACAACCTGTTCCAGTGTCTCACACCCTCACAGTAAAGGATTTCTTCCTAATGTCTAGTCTAAATCTACCCTCTTCCTGTTTATAGCTATTTCTCTTCATCCTGGCACTACATGCCCTTCTAAGAAGTCCTTCCCTAGCTTTCCTGTAGGCCTCTGAAAGAGTAATAATGTTCCACTAATGCAAAAATCTTCATAGAAAATGAGGATATCTAGATTCAACACCTAAATGAGAAAATGGTGTTAAAGAGGCAATCCTTGTATAGAAAGGATACTTTGTATTTCTGCTTTACAGTTCATCTTTGTTGGTCTGAGATGGAGAAAAAGGCAATGTAGAGTATCATTGTTGTGATTATTATGGAAATGCTTACCACCAGAAAGTTGTGAAAGTGTCACTGCACAGGCAGAAAAATAAATAATTTCGTTGTTAGAATATTTTATAGGCAGTTATTGAAAAAAGCTGGGGGCTAACTTTGTTCTCTCATTGGGTAACTTCTTCTAATTCCTTATAGATTTCCTAAATACTCAAAAGTTTTGCGTCATTCTAATATCACTGTGTTTTTCAATTTCTCTTTTCCTCAGCTATGTTTTTAAACACGAAAAACTTACTTTAAAATAATGTATTAATTCCTTCAGAAACACAAGTAATAAATAATCACTGCTGTTTTCCTTGTAAAGATATTCTGCTTTTCTTAGGTACTCTTTCAGAAGTATTGAAACTGTTCTTTTCCATTTCAGTATCAATCCTTCCCATACAACAAAAATGGATTCAAAATAGGGATGAAGCTGGAGGGTGTGGATCCTGAGCACCAGTCAATCTATTGTGTTCTCACTGTAGCTGAGGTAATCTCCTGGCAAGTGTTAGTTTGCTAAGAGCAACCATAGTGCGTAGTCACAGAAGAAACTCCACTGGATGAGTAGCTGCTGGAAGTAGAAAAATGTGAAGTTTCACAACTTATTTTTAGTGATTTTATAGAAGTTTATTAGTATTTTAGTTGGTGCATTCACTGATAAAAATATTTAGGGTTGTTTTTTTGGGTTTTTTTTTTTGGTTTTTTGTTTTTTTTTCATTGCAATCGTGCTACAATTTTTTTTTCAGGTATAGTGACTCAGAAATTGACTGTACTTACAACCTGTACAAGTTAGTATACAGTATAAATGCTTTTCATCTTTTGATGTCTTATGGTAATATTTTTCATGAGAAGTTTCTTTGCTTTTAAAAACATAGATGAGAACCTATTTCTCAATTACAATTTTTGTGTCTATTAAATGTACATTAATTTTTACAGTTTTACTAAAGTTCATTTTTTGGAGAGGAGTTGTTCTGTATAGTAAAATGGGGAAACAGAAATAGGTAGATACTCTGCTCTGTATCGGTGGTAAACAGCTGTAATTTCATTGTTTATATTTTAATAACTTAGGTTTTTTCATTCCCACTTCTGAATGACCCATGGTCATATTCCGTTTCTGTAGATTTCTTCTACTTTCTTGTGGATGCTGTATGTCAGTAGATAAGTATTGCCTGTGTACTGGATACTTATCAGTAAGTGACAGGTCATTTTTTTATGGCAGAATGACCTGTCATAAATTCTGAGGTAACATAAATCCTGTGTAATTCTGAGGTGACAAAATGAAAGTGTAAATTAAAAATATAATAGGGTGACTATGATGTTAAAAGAATTTCACTGATGACAGCAGGAAAAGTTATGGTATTTGGCACTCAGGAAGATGTGGATAACTTTAGTCTGGAAGAAAGAAAGTCTCCTATTTTTCACTTGTTCAATTATTATCTTATTACATTATGGAACAGTGATGCTCTGGGGCATCTCTCAGAGTTGACTTTTCATCTTTAATGACAGTTCTGGAGATCATGTTTAATATAGTCATTTTTGGAGTTCTAGCAGTATTTTCTCTCAAACTGGTGAATCAGGATAGCTTCAAAGCATCATTATCTTCACTGCTCTGTTGACTGTATCAGATGCATATCCATAGTCTTTTATGGGATTTCTGTTTTATTCTGATGTTGGGCTGGAATAATTTTAAATTTTTAAACAGTAATAGCGGTATATAGCTCTTAGTTAATGCTAATTACCAGAAGATGCAGCACTCAGATTGAGAATACCTTTACTTCTTTATCACATTTTCTTTTTTACTAAGTTATCCAGTTCTAGCGTGAGCAGAGATAAAAGGCTGACTAAAAACACACTGTTAGTATGCATAATGCTGAACATAAGCTGTTATGCATAGGGTGAGGATCTTAAATCCCAAGTATTATATGCTCTATATTCTTGCTTTTAGGTTTGTGGCTACAGAATACGACTCCACTTTGATGGATACCCAGACTGTTACGACTTCTGGGTGAATGCTGATTCTTCAGACATTCATCCTGTTGGATGGTGTGAAAAAACAGGTCACAAGCTTCATCCACCAAAAGGTATTCTTTAGTTTGAATTGAATGCATTTTCTCAGATTGAGACTATCTTTGTAATATTGTAAAAAAGTTTTTGGCAGAAATGTTTTTGTTCTTTTAGTCAGAATATTTGAACGTATCAAATTAAACCGTGTATTAAGTCTTGCTAAAATCTTTAGATTGAAATCTTGCCTTTTTAATTTGGTGGAAATTTATAGAAAGCCAGGAACAAAATGAACCAGAGAAGTAGTGCATAAGGCATTAGGAGAGAAAGTTAAGCAACAAATGTAGACCCCAAATGAATTATTTTTGTAAGTAAACAAGCAGCAAGCTTGGCAAGTGAGAATCTTTTAGCAGAAAGTCTCAGGACATTTTCATTATTACGTATTAACTGTGCACGTACATTGTTGTAGACTAATAAAGATAGTGCTTTTGCCTTAAAGAATAGGCTTTTAATAGATACAAAAATAGGAATGAAGAGATTGAGAGTGAGAAAAAATTTTACAACCTGAAAATGTAATCTACATGTAGTTTAAGTAAATGGCACAAGTGTGTTGAAATATTTTGAATTTGCTTGTTTAATTATTTCATTTCAGGTTATGTAACTATTTCATTTTGTTTTGGAGTGTGTCTCTATAAAACAGTACTATCACAAAAGAACTAACAGACTCCTTTCTGGGGAGGGAAGAGAGTGTGTGTAGAGAAAGGAAGCAAGCCCTGAGTGCAGGAGAATGAGATAAATTAATGGGGTGTTTTGAAATAGAGAGAGTAGGGTAATAGGCCCTAGAACATTTGCAAAATGATGAATATAGAGAAAAAGATGTACATTATGAAGTATTAAAAAACTGTGGATGCAAGTGCTCAGATGCAGAAAGTAAAATTAAACCACCAAAACGGTATGGGCTGAGGGCCTGCCAATGAGGAGAAGATGGCATTTCTTTAGTTGAGCCTTGTAGGAATATGAAGGAACATGGGCTACAGCTCTTCTGAACTCTTCACAAGCTGCTCATTGGCTTCAGGGCAAGACTGCTCCATGCTGCCACTTTCGTACGTGCCTTGTTCTGCATAACTGGCTGTGTAAAAACAGTGATTTCTTGAACACAAATCATGTTTTTTCTCAGGAAGTTGACTTCCAATAGAGTAATATGTAACAAATGAGTTCTAGAGTTATTGATGTTACTAATGCAAACTTTGTACGTTTTATTTTTGTGGTGAAAATTTGACATCTTTTTCATCTTAAATGCCTCATTTAGAAAGCATAATCTGTTAATCACGAATTGTTGGTATTGGAGGAAAGTCTTCTTCCAAGTCACTTTAATGAAATTTCTTCATTTTCTAGTCTTACTTCGGTGAGATTGTGTTTAGTGTATTTTTTCACCACATTGAACCAGTGTAGCTCTTTTACTTAGGAAAGTCATGGAGCCTATCAGAGGAGCTGAGAAAGATACCCTGGGAGAAATGTGGAGGTACTTGTCAGGAATCTGTTTGTCACCCTGCACAGCTATGTAGTCCTACTACCCTCGAGAACATCTTAACTTTTGAATAACAAGATCGTTCTCTGGTATTTTATCAGAGACCAGCAAAATATTCTGCCCTATGTGTGGCTTAGCTACTTTGCTTCATCTCAGCAGTAAACTCTACAACTATTTATGAGGTTTGATTGCTGAAACCTGCTCTCATACTTTTAAGACTTCTTTGTTGTTGTAATGCAATCTTAGCTTGCATGTGGAATGGAAAACAAATGGAAAAGAACAAGTGGTATTGTAGAGTCATACTTTGGAAGGAGATGGAAGAGAACTGGGTGTTCATCAGTTACAGATATTTTTTTAGTTTTGCAGCAGAAGGACATCTGTGATGCCTTTGAAAATATGGGATTCTCAGAAGGTTAAACAGAGCTATTATAGTCTGTGACATATTTGAGCAGCACTTGAAATAGTCAAGAGGTGACACATTTCACATATTTCAGTAGATAAGGAAATCACTTACCAGAATTGATGGTGTTTTACTGGATTATAACATATGAATTAAAATAAGTGTCCCTAAAACATATTCAACAGATGAATAAAGGAAGAAAGCACTATGTGCTTACAGCTCTTTATCATTGCTTTAGTGATTAAATATCTAAACAATTCAACATGACCAATTTATGCAGTTTAATATATTATGAATTATTTTACTTTTTCTCTAAGAAAATATTAGAAGATGCAAATTATCAACAGAATTTTAGATTTCTTTCTAAGTGCATAGAATAAAAATATGGAAAATGCATGTAAGGGACAGTTTACCCTATGAGTCCATATGGGAATCTGTGGCATTGACGATATAAACAGCTGTTTTGATATATCCTAAGGAGTTGTTTTAGAGCCACTTGTGATCTTGCTGAATCAGTGGTAAAGTAAGGTAAAGTCCATAGGAAGTGTGGAAGTTTCTTTTGTTAGTCTGAGCTTTTGGGTCTTCAGAGCCTTTGTTGGTTCTGAAATCAAAGACACACACTAAAAATCACAAGAGAGCACTTGCTCTGGGCTTATCTGTTTTGAGTGTCAGTCAGTTCATTAAAACTGGGGGTAGCTGTGGGGCAGAGAAAAGAGAGGTGGTGAGATGTGGCATTCTTGCAGAAAGAGGGGTGGCTTGTAGCATGTGCTGCTTGGAGAGTTTTGTTGAAGTCAGAGGAATTATAATATCAAACTGCCTTATTGCGGCTTTCCCCTAAATGTTCTTTACATTGAGGACCTTTGTGTCAGGTGATCAGGACAGAGATCAGGATCAGAGGCCAGAGATCAGGAACAGAACAGTAGTTTTGTAAGAGGTGCTCCCTGCATTACTTTGAAGGTGAAACTGAAACTGAGCTGAAGTCTCATGAGTTGATGCCTAGCACATCATTTATATGGCTACTCTTCTAAATGAGAATTAGGAACAGTTTAAATGTCAGTCCTAGCAAACTACAGGAAACTAATAATGTTCAGCAGTACTTTGTTCAGACAGTGTAAAGAAATCTTGACATTTTTGTAAGGATGATCTTCCTGCCCTAAACAAACAACATGATTCCTCCTTGTAATACCAATAAATGGAAGAGCTTAATCAACTTTCTTTTGAATTCTGTAAGCTACAGTGTGTCCAGCTTCAATTTCTAATAATCCAACATAGTGATCCTTCAGAGATTCATTGAGTTCATATTAGGGTAAAATTAATAGTTCTGAAATATTTTTTCTTATGTAGTCTATATGAAATGAGAATAAATAATTAGCAGTGGATAAGCTCTTCAGTTTTGAAATTCTATGAAGAATTTTACAACTGGGTGGAAAAAATAATTTCAACAATGAAGATCAAATCAACTGCGTTCACCTTGTGTCTCATGCCTGTCTTATTTTTGCCATTCTTTTATGGTGCTTATTAGGATATAAAGAAGAAGAATTCAGCTGGCCTTCATATCTAAAGGCGTGTAAGGCTCAAGCTGCTCCTAAATCTCTGTTTGAAAACCAGAATGCAGTAAGTATTCATTTGTTACTGGTAGTGTGGAAAGTAGTTAGTGTGCTCACATATGTGTTAGACTTACTGCGCATTTCAGTGGTGGCAGGCTTCACTTCAGTTCATCTCTGCAATTCTCATCTTGTACTTTCTTTTATTAATCTGTTTAAATACCTGATACATTCAAGAACTGTATATTAAATGAATCCTAACAGTTTGTTGTTCCTGCGTCTCACATCACAACGTTGTGGAACGAGCACTGTCTTTCAGAGAGAGCACACAAGACAGAGTTGAAACTGATATATTTAATTTTAGCATCGTGTTCAATACTTCTTTTTTATTTTATAAACCGTGAGTCTCTTTGTGTTTGAGCATCTCTCATGTCAACTAATTAGGCTGGTGCCACTCTGTTGGAGCAGCTATTTGGGAAACTTAGAAATGACATGAATATATTGATTGTGAACAGTGGGGAGATTTCTGGATTTACAGTATTTATCTTTAATTAAATGTCTTTCTCTATATAGACAGTGATTCCATCGGGATTTCGAGTAGGGATGAAGCTGGAAGCCGTAGACAAAAAGAACCCTACATTCGTTTGTGTTGCTACGGTAACAGACATGGTGGACAATCGTTTTCTGGTTCATTTTGACAACTGGGATGAGAGTTACGACTACTGGTATGATGTTTTTGATAGACTCAAATTTCCCTTATTGGGTTACACATGAAAAATTTTCAGAGACTGTGCTGACTGTTTGTATGTGCTGCTACATCTAGAGCTGTGATCTGATTTCACATTTCAATTACATATTGGGGTTAATATTTTTAGTGAGGAATGTGCATCATCATAATGTGACTGGACTTAGAATTAGGTCTACATATAGTTGTAAGTAGAAAGTAAGACCGTATCTTTTCATGAGACTCGTGATCCACCATGTTGTTCAGCCTGAACTTCAGCTGTTTTCTGTAATGTATCAGGATGGTAGCAAAAGCTCGTTTTATTCTTATATATTCTATGATTCTCTGTAAATTGGGATCCTAATGTCCTTCCCTGTCTCAGAGATGACCTGTTTATGTTGTACAATGGAGGGGCTTTGTGAAAAGTCAGTGCAAGCAGCAAAGACATAAGCATGAAGATCTCCAAAGAAATTCAGATTTTGGCTGTTACAGCACAGGTTTTTATTTACAATTGCATATTCTTGTAGTAGATCATTTAGAGCAAAGTAGTGTATCCTACATTCTTTTAAGAGTGAATTAGTACAGAACAGGTAGGTCATTGTAAGGCTGCATCGTGCTTCTGCAGTGGTAATTGAATTCTATAGCTGAGTAAAAATAAGTGAAGAAAGCTTTCTTCTGTATTTGATGACTGCTTGGGCACTGTGTCATTAAGAATGATGTGAAGAACTTCAAAACTTTGTGAGTAACTTGAAATAATAATTGTATGGGCTATCTGACAAATAAGCTGTAGGAGAATTAATTTCTGACAAATAAGCTGTAGGAGAATTAATTTATTGAATCAGCAGTGAGCAGGCATTTCAGGGAAGAACTGAGTGACAAGATGATAGGCCATATTACTCAAAGAGTGGAAAGATTAGTGATTAATTTCATGACAAAATAACACAAAGCCTACATTTCCTCTACAAAGTAGCTGGAGACTGGAAAGTGGTAAAATATATTCTGAATTCCTGGTATGTACATGCTCATAAATAACAGTTATGCCATTAATTAATAATGAAAACAGCATTTAGGTAAGGCTTTTATGACAGGTGAAGACAATGTAATATAACCTGCAGTTTGTTCAGAGATGGCACAGGTGCCTCTCCAAAGCATTGCACTATGTATAGCAGACATACACACTGAATTTCAAGCATAGTAATGTTGTCAAGTCAACAGGCCTCCCTTTCTGCACTGTTGTAATTGAGAACAGAAGTGAATAGAGGAGGAAGGAGAGAAAATAGAAAAGAATAGTGAATGAAAATAGTGATGGAATGTCTGACCAAAAGAGAACATGAAAATGCACCTCATTTATCTTTTTAATTTCGATACCAGATTTAGAGGGGCCTTAAAGAATCTTGAGTGCATAAAATTCTCATCTATCAGTGTCTTAACAAAAAATGAAAAGTTCTGTTGGGATTACCCAGAGTGAAGGCCTTGCAATTTCCCTAGTTCTGTATGTAAGTTTAAATCTCAGAATTACAATGGTTTCAGTAAGGAAAAATGGTGTATGTTGTATATGTAGTTGAGGATTTTCAAACAACTTTATTTTTTGGGTTATATTCAGACAAGCTCCGTCTTTCATTTAGATTAGGCAAATTGAACTTTTTCATTAATTATAAAAAGTCTTTTGTCTTCTTGAAAGAGTGAGATACAGCTGACTAATTTTATTGGACTTCATGAAATAAATATGAAACAACAACCATGGCCTAAGCATTTTAGGCTTCAAGTTTTCAACCTGAAGGTGGTTTTCCTAACTTTTCTGGAGTGTAAGGAAATTCATGAATGGTTGCAAAAAAATACCCTAGCTAGAACTAGTCATTGCTAACACTCTTTAATGCATAGTGGTGATATTTTCAGTGTATTATAAATCCCATTAAATAGCCCTCTGGCAGTGTCTTTTAGAGGGAAGAAAAGTGAACAAAATGGGCATTCATGATGGAGGATTTTGTTCTCTGTTCCACAAGTCTTCCAGTCCTTTCCATCTATCCTGTAGTTTTTGCTGAAACAAATGATACTTCTTTGAGAGCCAAAGACGTTCCATTGGAATGGAATTTCCAATTGCTTTTAAGGTTGGAATAACTCTGGAAGTGGTCTTTTGGTATCTCCATGAATTAACTGTAGATCCAATCTGGCTTTCAATTCTCCATTCTCTTATATCTGCTCTTTGTACACGCAGATTTCCAGAGCCTGAGCTTCCTAATTTTTTTCCTAGCAAAAACTGAAGCACTCAGAGCTTTAGCAGAAGTTGTGCTAGCTTGTTACTGCTTGCCCTCAGGAGAGATTGTGTGGTGGTAGTGCTGAGCGCACTGCAGCCTAGCCTCACTGGGTTAGAAGGTTCTGACTGCCCTAATTCACTGCTTGGTCTTAGTATCCCCTGCAGAAAAGGTGCTACATCAAATTTTGGGATCATCTTGCCGAGGGTGTGGGAAAATGTGCCTCACTCACTGTTCTGCTCCTGTCCACCCTGCATTGAAAAGCAATTTCTAATGCTCCTTGTGAAGGTAAATCAGTTTTGATTATCTGAATCTTTGCCTTATCTGTGTGATACACAGGTAAGACTGGAGACAGATACAGGCTGGATTTTTGTGTGGTACAAAATAAGTGGCCAGTTCAGCTCTCCACCAGCATCTGCTACTTTGCTAATAGCAAAGTCTTTAAAAATTATGGTCCAGTTGTTTCTTTTTTTGAGATAATAAGTTTTGCTGCACTCTTTTGTTGAAAGGAATGATCTTTTTGAAGTAATTATAATACGCCGAAAGAAGGATAAAACAGTCTTAAAGAACTGAGGGTCACAGTACGTGCTTTTAACTACCTGAATGGATAATAGACTAATGCATGAATCTAAAGCTGTAAAATGTTCTGCAAATCACCGTGTGTCTGTCTTATCATCAGATAATCAGTACAAAATAGGGCAATGTGACTTGCTGGGCCACCTCTGGATACATACCTTATGAGTCACATTTTGGGAGGTCATAACCTAAAATAATACCTTCGTGTTAACGATGAAGTGTACTCATTTATTCACTAGATGGGGCTGCAGGACGATTTCTATGTTTTTCTTTCTTTTTTTCCTTTCTTTTTCCTTTTTCTGGCTTTTTTTTTCTTTTTTTCTTTTTTTCTTTTTTTTTTTTTTTTTTTTTTTTTTTTTTTTTTTTTTTTTTTTTTTTTTTGCACATAGTTAAATGCACTGACATGTCACAGTCGAGAAGTTGTATTAGCAGCATTCCTGAGGGCTTAATATTATTTCTGAATATAATGCATGTATGTATGAGTGTTCTGGGATAGCTAATGTTTTCACTGCAGATTGTATCTAAATTTAATGAAGTGAAATTCAAAATACCAAAAGGTTTGTTTCCCCAAAAGTGAAAAACAAAAATTGCCTCAAAACAGAAATTGAATATAATATTTACAATTTAATTTAAAGAAAAAAAGCAAATGAGTAAATAAAAAATCTTCAAATCTTCAGGTGCAGACTCATTTTGGGAGCATTTTCCTAAGTACTGAATATTCTTTTTTTCTAACAACCAGCATTATCATCTGTCTGTCTTGATCTGAATTGAACGAACTGTTTATATGAAATGGATCTGGGGGAAAAATTAACAGGACAGCTGATTTTAGCAATAGAAAAGAACTAATTCTGTTTCCATAGCCGTGCCTGCCATTCGGACTCCTCTCCTGCTGTGAGCTAGCAGTCGTTTAGCTGCAGGCATGTTCCTTTCCTGTAGAGTGCTGCACTTGCCAGGGCTCACATTCCCAGCTGCCCTCAACTTTTTTTACTGTGGGAAGCTGTGAACAGTGGAACTTCTTTCTGACCTTTTACATCACTTAGCTCTTTTTTGCATTGACATCCTTTGCAGGATGTCATTAAACTGTTCATAAGTTAGCAGAGCTGCTGGCTGTTCTGTCCATCCATGTGGTTCAGCTGTCTCTCTGCTGCTTTTTGCTCCACTTCAGCTGCCTGGATTAGCTTCAGTTTCCAGTACAAACAATAGTTGTCCTTTCCTGTCTACATGCTTTCTAAAGACTGAAAGAATGGATTGTGAGTGATATTAAATTGTGTGAACATTACAACCTTTCTCTGTGAATGGAGCCTGCCTATTAGAAACCAGTAGCGTTCTGTTGCAGTCCAGACATAGGTAGGTGTGGAGGTACAAAATTCCGTAGTTCCTGCTCACAGTGGGCTTAGTGAGCATCTTTGCAATTCATGGATCATTGTGATTTATGAGGCGTGTGAGCTGGGTGTTCTGCGATCTGTTTGGGAGTGAATGAGAGAAAAAGCTGTGGGATGCCGCAAATTGATTGTGAAAAGTCAGCATAGCCTTTGGCATTCCAGCTGACGCATCTTGGACTTAGGCTGATAGGCTGTAGCTGTTCTTCCAAACTGGGTACATGTGTGCATGAAATAACACATTTACGCATAATAGTTTTGCTTTAAGTTGTGTGTTATTATTACTGAGCTCCAGTTTTTATTGTTAAATGGACTGTTAGAAGCTGAAAGGCTGTGTAAAATCACTGTGCGAAGATGGACTGTGTGACCTGGTTTTGCTGGAACAGTGCTGTTGTTTTTTTCATGAGGCTATTGTGATTACAGAAGCCTCTTACAGGCTCGTTTGAAATGACCAGGTTTTCTTGTAAAGCAAACCAAAATGTTGCAAATGTTTTATAATGCTGTTTTACAGTGCTGTTCTGTCAAGCATTCATTGCTATGCATTCCACATAAACTCTCACTGCTGCAGTGTCAGAGCATCTTCCAGTAGTGCATCATCCATTGTGACAGACTTTCTTCAAAGTGAGAAATGTGTGAAGTGGCATTTACTATTCAGAATTCTATAAACATGTTCAAATTGTGTGCTTGCAAAAGCAAAACAGAAGTAATTCTTTCAGGAAATCTGTCCTGACAAGAGTTTTTACACATTTAGCCCATTACTGTAAGCAAACATTGATCAGACCATAGTGGCTCATGAGCATGGGTCTTGATCCCAAATTTACTCAGGTCAATTTTGAAAGTAATTTCTGGACTTTACTACAAAATATTTCAGGAAGTACTAAGAGTGTGTCCTTTCCATGTGAAAGGAAGTCTTGTCTGTGTAAAGACTTCTATGTAATAGAAGTAAAAAATAAAATAGAAGTAAAAAATAATCCTTCTTTTGAGAAGGATAGAAGAGAGGAATGCTGCCTCCCATACTTCTAGCCTCTCTTCACAGTTACTGTAAAGAGACAGGAAGAAGGAGAGAGAGTGAGGCATTCACCTTTTCTCTAGTTTCTTTGGGGAGTTGGAGTACTGAGTTTCATCAATGCAGAATTATTATTAAAGTCATATTCATTCCTTTTGTTAATAGTAATTTTGGTTATCTAGCAAGCACTTGGTGTGATACTATAAATACTTATGTATGTGCAATATAGCTTTATATATTGCATAGGGCAAAAGGTTGGTGCTCCTGATGTGAGCTGAATTCTCGCCTATTGTCAGAGCCATTCCAGAATCTACTGAAAGCAGGTTTTATCCACTAGAAAGGGATTTATTTGGCATTATTACCAAGAAATAAGAGCACAACTCTTTTAAATATAAACACACAAGATAATTGTAGTAGGTTGTCTAATATTTTTCAGCTTGGTATATTCCTTTTAGGTACAAGGCTAGAGGAGTGCTTATTGTGATAAAATGGTTTTGAGACATTCATCTTATATTTCAGTTGTTGAAATACGTCAATACTGAATTTTAGACATCGTTGAGTAAAATTACTTTTTAGATTAAAAAAGTGTTTTGTGTATCCTCAATACAGCACGCTTCTTCTTTTTTGTTGTATGCAGCAATGTGATAGTAACTCAGGGCTCATTCTGCAATCTTTTCTATTCTATGTCTCCTACAATCTTTAAAACACACTTGTGTTCAAGGTCTGCAGAATTAGCATTTTGACCAGTACATTAGGATGTTAGGGTTCCTGCTAATTTACCTTCAACTTTTTTTTCAGTTCTTTGCACTGCCTTAGATATTACAGATTATCAACCTGTGGCGTTTTTATGATGTAAATTAGTACTGCGAACAAAGGGAGATAATAGTGTATGAGCTTTCAGCATGCTAATGCTTTCCAAGTAGATAATGGATAGTGGTTCTGTTACAACAGTGGGGGGGGAACTCTGTTCAGGTATTTTGTATTAGTAACTCCTTGTCTGGAGGGAAAAGGCAAGAATAGAAGTTAATCTTCAGCCTATAGTTTGAAACATTGACTTCAGAGAAGGATTAAATAGAAACTGGATCACAATGACTGATTCAGTATTTTATGCAAAGACTGTTGTGTACAAAGTAAGATGCCTTCATGCATGGATGCTCTCTGCATGGCTTCTTCCAGTAAATATTTGCAGAGTGTTTGGAAAGCAGCATCCCTTCAGATAGAAGGGAGAGATGATGTTCCTATCTAGTCTGCTTACGCTTGATTTCTTGATCCTGCCTTTGGGAAATGGGAAACGAAGGCTTTAACTATTTTAACTTTCATAGACAAGCATACAAGGTGGTCATCTTGAATACTTGAATACTGTCTGCTTCATGAAAAAACACTGCTGATTATTTAGCAAACTGAAAAAACAATCTCTGATTTTGCTGCAGACATAGAGATGGTGGATGTTTCATAGCAGAATCTAATGGCTTTTTTTTTTCCTGTAGATCAGTCTCACTTTTTGCCTTTCCTAGTAATACTAAGAAATAATATAAGTGTTATATTACATAGGATATGCGCTATATTATATACACCCTATATACATTATATGTTGTATATAAAATATGTAACAAGTACACAATAATATTTTTATAGATTATTAATACTGAATATTAAAATGATTTTTCTCTCATCTGCTGATTATGTTTTTACAGTTCATTTGTTGTTGTTTTCCACTGCTTACACAACTTAGTAGCCAACTTGGTAGCTTTCTTCTAAGCATTATTTGCCCAAACAAATGAATAGAATGAGATTGACCTCTCTTTCTTTCAGAAGATGCCAGCATGTCAATTCCAGCTCACCCTGCCTGTTAGACTTTTGTGGTTCTTGTGGTGCACCATAGGCAATAGCACTTCTGCAAAATTTGGTGCACATAATAGAAAATATAGGAAGTTGTTAGTCTCCTGAATGAGAGTGTTTGAGCAGCCTTCTTAGGGCAATTTCCAGTCTTGGTTCACTGATTAGTCTTGCATTCTTTAGGCAAGTTGGGGTCTAAAATCCTGTCTTTTTTCGTTTCTTTTTCTGACAATTTTGTGCAGACTAGTGCTTTTTTTGTATTCTGCTGGGCTATAATAACATGTTCATAGCTCCATTCAAGCCCCTTAGAAGCTAGTATTTTTGCTTGTTGTTGACAATCTGTTGGAGTTGCGCATGATTTTCTGATCTGCCTCCAGGTGCTCTCAGTTCTTTAATCAAGGTCTTTTAACTTTTGGTTTAAAGTTTGTCTTGATATTGAAAAACCTCCTGTCTAATGGAAGAATGTATTCTTGCAACCAAGCAACATGCTTCTTCCAAGAATCTCTACATATGAATTTTTCAGGTCCACCATTATAGCTTCTCAGTAAAAGTCTACTGACTTAGACTTGATTTATTGATCTCATTGTTAAAATTTAACAAAAGTCCTATGCTTGTATAGGTGGCAACAAAGACTGTGTTAAATGTATTCCTATCTTCAGTTATATTTGCAGTTTTAAGTATAAGTTGAGTGTATCACAGGCTATTTAGAATTTGTTAAATCTTTATAGTATGTATTATTTTCTAAGCATAATAAGATCTCTGAAGAACTGCATTATTTTTTTCTCCTCTCAGGTGTGAGGCAGCTAGCCCACATATTCATCCTGTTGGGTGGTGTAAAGAACATAAAAGAACTCTTATCACCCCACCAGGTTTGTATCATGTTACATATCTGAAAGATATAAGTAATAGCCAGCTGCAGAATTACATCTTACAGTGAGCTTAATGTCACCTCTTCTGATTTTTTTTCTCTGTAACTAAGAATTGCTATTACTGATTTTTATTTTTTGTTGGACATAATTTATTGTGAGTAGAGTTACAATAGACATTAGCTATTAAGTATGTACATATATACTACTTCAATAAAGACATTCATTTGTTGTAAGGCTTACATTGTGAAAGTGCTGATAATATAAATTCTAGATGTGTGAGATTTTCTGCATAAGAAAAATAATCTTCATGTGAACTAAATTGTTTGGATATCAGGAGCGGGGAGACACTGGAACGGGCTGCTCTGAGAAGTGGTGGAGTCACCATCTCTGGAGATGTTCGAGAAACATAGATGTGGTACTGAGGGACATAGTTTAGTGGGCATGGTGGGGATGGGTTGGTGGTTGGACTAGATGATTGTAGAGGTCTTTTCCCACCTTAATGATTCTATGAGTCTATGATTCTAAATATACATGATGAGACAATTACTTTATGTAATCGAGGAGTCAAACTTGTTAAGGCTCTTTGGGACTCAAGAAGTGAGAGTCAACCATTACGAATGGAAATGTACTAATTGCTAGTAAATACAAGGAAACCCCTATTTTTCAGTATTGATGTGTGTATCTGGATTAGTTAAATGCCCTCCCTGTCAAGAGAAAAAGAAGATGCTTGTATGGGAAGTAGTACAGACCATAGCGTTATAAAAGAATATGCTATCTAACTTATATCTCTTGTTATATCTCTTATGCCTTTCGTGCCTGTAGAGCTTTCAGACATAAATGACTTTAGAAACCAATATAAAGACTTGATAGCCTAGTACAAAAACCTGACAGAGTGAAAAGCACCTGTGCCATTGTGACAGTGGTTAGTCTAGCTGTTATAGTATTGCTTTGGTAATTGAAGATATAAAAAAAAATAGAATCATAGAATGGCTTGGGTTGAAAGTGACCTCAAAGATTATCTAGTTCCAAATCCCCTGGCAGCCTTTAGATCAGACTTCCCAGGAGCTCATCAAGTCTGACCTTCAACACCTCTAGGGATGGGGCATCCACAACTTCTCTTGGAAACTGTTCCAGTGCCTCACCACCCTCTGAGTGAAGAATTTCTTCCTAACCTCTAACCTAAACCATATCAGAAAATTTGTATGCTGGGGCTTACACTGTTTTGTCTCAAAATGCTTTATATGATTTAAGTAAGGTTTGAGAAGATGTAGGCATGACAACAAAAATTTTGCATGCTTTGTTTTTTCTTCCTGTATTAATTTTTAGCTAGATCAGTTTTCTGACTGAATCATCCCAGGATCACTCAAATACAACTTCTGTTACAGTAAGCAGGAGGGAGTGATTGGGAAATACAAGTTTCTCTTAGAAACAGTGACTTATGCTGGCTGCTTTTTAAGTAACTATTTTATTTGTTCTTATTTGTTAGTTTCATAGCGAATTGGAGTAGATTAGTTTCATAAGCACAACTTGAGTTTGGAAGATAGGCACCCATGCAAGAAATAAAGAGAAAATATTGATAGAGTAGGGGGATGCTTATAGCAGTACTAAGGCAAAAGACCTAAAAGGGAAAAACAATAAAACTAGTTTTTGAAATGGATTAAAAAAAGCATCATTGACTTTGATGAAATGTGTGTGGGTCTAAAGTTCACATATAAGGCCCTCATCACTATTTTCATGCTGATAGCAATGAAGAATTTCAAAGAGAATAATCCATTTATAAAACTCTAAGCAGCAGTTTTATCCCGTAAAATGCAAATTGGTCAACTCTATAGCTGAACCAAGTTGTTCAACAGCTTGCTGATGAAGCTGAAATCTTAGGAGGGGACTGTACATTCTGGGTCTGTAGTGGAATCTGAGGCATAGAACAAAGCAGTGTTATAAAGCTAAGTTAGGCATTCTGTAAATTATGCATAATTTTTTACACTGCAACATTTAATTTTGCTAATATTTCTTTTGTGCCAGACTACCCACATGCTAAGCATTTTTCTTGGGAGAAGTATTTGGAAGAAACCAGCTCGTTACCTGCACCTGCAAGGGCTTTTAAAGTGGTGAGAAAATGCTTACATTTTTATCATGCCTTTAAGTGCATATGATTAATTAAATAAGGGAATATATATATGGTGTTCTTATATTTCCCAGTGTATCCAATTAATTTGTTGCATTATAGGAGGTTTACTTTTGTGCAAGCTCACTGTTCGCTATTAGAAATCCTGCAATTATTAATAATAATTGCTATTACTTTATTATTTTAATTGTTTCAAATGGAATTAAATGCAACTAAATATTAGTAATTCATGTAATTTGCTATGTGAAATTAGTGCTTCATTATTAGAAATAATAAGATAGCTACTGAATCATCATATCATAACTTGAACTCATATATTTTTACCCTTACATTTTAAATGGTGCAGGAAATACAGTGAGAATGTAAAAATGTAGGAGGCCAGGCTAGTTGCCTATCTAGTCCATTCTCTTACAGTAGCCAAGAGACAGTTTGTGTTTTATATGTTTAGTAAACCTTTTCATCTATGAACCAGTGAACAGGGCATTTGGACAGAATCCAGTGATAGTTCCCAAGTTTTTGAGAAGACTGTACTTTTATTTTGGTTTTGGACATGCTACTTTCTTTCAGTGACATCTATCTTCCCTGTCAGTAGTGGCTTGATAGGATTTTCAGTGAGAATGCTGAAGACCTCACTGGTAGGAGCTAACATCAGATAGTCCATAGGTTCTAACCCCTTGCTTCAGAGCTCTCAAGTTGGTTCGTTTGAGTTTTTCAGATTACGGTTACTAATTCTAAATTCTGAATGCTTTGCTAAGAAGTGAATTACCAAAAGCAGAAATGTCCCTTCCAACCCAAGTTGTTCAAGTCTTGGAAAATTGGTTTGAGTTTTCTTTTTATATTTGTATTTGTCAGAGGAGAAGGGCAGATTTGAGAAAAGAAGGAAGTTTTTGATGGATTTTACACATTATAAGATTGGGTTTGAGTTTTTCTTCTGTTTAATGTAGTTTTTTTTCTTTCCTAGAAACCTTCTCATGGCTTCCAGAAAAACATGAAACTTGAAGTGGTCGACAAGAGAAATCCAGTATTTATCAGAGTAGCAACTATTGTAGATACAGATGACTATAGAATAAAAGTAAGTTTCTCTGTCTTATTGTACCACCTCACTTCAGTTCCTAATTAGTGCTTATAAACCCAAAATCTAATAGTTGTAAAATTAAGCAAGAATTAAGCTGTGTCCGGCTAAGCTTTTACTTGTCCTTTTTCACTTATTAATATGCACATAATTCCTTTGGATGGGGTTGTTCTCTTATCCTCTTAGTTACATTTGCTGACATAGGTAATTAGTAGAACTGAATATGAAAATTACTTAGGAAACAGTTGATACAAAACATTTGCCCATTTTATTGAAAGAAGTGAAGATTTAGTAATTAGGACCCTATAAAATATTTGGCCTGGTTTAACTGGATCTGTCTCTGTAAAGGTTCAAGAAAGGAGAGAGATACAAGGGAGAAATGAAAAAAGAACCCTGATCTCTTGTGTTTTGTCAGAAACTTCTGCAATTCTGAAGTTTGTGATAATTGACTGTTTATAATATAATAATATATAATGGATTTAGACTGGAATAATTTCAGATAATTTTTTTTTTTAAGCACAGTTTTCCAGAACTTTTATTATTGTATTGTTTTTGCTTTGTTTTACAAAAGCATCTTCCTCTCTGGAGCATTTGACTGTGAAGACTGGCATATGCCAGATATTCAGTTAGGTGGATATGAAGGATATTTGTGTATGCATTTCATAGAGATTTATTCAGTGTACCTGTACTTCAAGCAATGAATGTAGCTGACATTTCCTTTTGAATCTGAATTAGTCAGCAGATTTCATTTTCCACCTGAAGATTAAGTTGATCATAAAAAAGGAGGGGGAAAGAATCCTCTCAAGTCTAACTTATTAATATGGTGGATTTGTAGTTTCTTGAATGGCAGTTTAATTGACTCCAGAGCATATGTTGAAAAGGGCTCCATTTGAACATATGTGTGTACATGAATCCACATGTGTACATGAGAGATCTGAGCCATTTACAACTATGGAGGTTAAGTAATATTCATCTTTTGTTTAAAAAAAAAATGTTGTATGGCACAAACTGGTGTTTTTGGGGGATACCTTGATTTCTCTTCAGCTTCAACTTTTACCCTGTATGATCTGATTTTAATAAATTATTACTAGTTGTTTTTTGTCTTTTTTTTGTCTTTTCTTTTTAATGGATAAATGCCTTTTTTTTTTTTTTTTTTTTTTTGCTTACCACTCTACTGCTCTTAAATTGTTTAATTTCTTGCTTAGGTATTAAAGTGAGAACTAAACATGTTCTGCTGTAGGGATTTGAGTCCAGTTTTGTAAGACACAGTAAATGACCAAATGACACCTCTCTCTTTTCTTCACTCAAAGTGTATTTGGGTCCAAAATCTAATATATATGTATTTTCAATGTAACATCCATAGTTTTCTTAAAATGACTTCTCTAATGAAGATAGCATTTCTAGAAATTGCTCAGGGAAACTGATTTAATAGGGAATCTTTTTAATCTAGAATATATTTTTCTCTTTTGTAAATGTAGGTCCATTTTGATGGCTGGGATAGTATTTATGATTATTGGACGGATGTAGATAGTCCTGATATCCATCCTGCAGGCTGGTGTACAAAAACTGGACACCCTCTTCAGCCTCCACTGAGTAAGTGAAATTGCATTATAATGTGGTGATGTTAAAGGCCTGTGTACTAGCTGATGTTTCGTCTGCCAGTGTTGTCCAAAGAAAGGTAGCAACTAGGATATGCAAAATAATGTAAATGTGACATTTAGTGCAAAATCAACATAATTTAAAATGTCACTAATTAATCACTTTTTCATAGATAGCTTTAATGACCCTTACTGTAATGAAATACATTTGTCTGTATGCATAAGAATTAGAGTCAAAACCTGAAGTATTAGTAAGGATTTGTTGCGTGAGATCCAGGCCCTCTTGAAGCCAATGATAAAACTGCTGTGGTACTTCTACTGGGCCAGGGTATTGTTCTTAAGATCTTATGCCTATATCTTCTTGAAAATTATTGTGCTTTTCAGCATAGAGTCCAGACTGCCCTGAGAAGGTGCTCCTTTCAAATGCTGCCAAATCCTCAAAATCAGCTAACTTCTTTTTCGTCTTCAGCTGCACAGAGTAGACTTAATGCTGCCTATATTAAAGATAAATCAAACAGAAGCATATTACTAGTAATAAAACTGTCTTTATCAGTTTGCCCTCTCTGGGAATTTGTTTAACTTGTTGAAGTTGGAAATCTGTCATAAATGAGACTAGAGGTTACAAGGAGAAGAGATTTTGATGGTAAAGATATCCCTACTGTGCTGCTGTGTTTTTAGGCACAGTGAAGTCACTTTATCCAAACTTTGAACTGATGATTTTTAACTGAGTGCTCTTTTCTAGACTTGCATTGTAAATACTTGACTTGTGACTCTGAGCTTTGCACAAGTGCTGAGTGTTCCACTGCTATAACTGAGATCAGAAAAAGCTGTGCTTGGAAAATAAAAAATGCTGAACTCTGAGAAGTTACATGCAAAATAACAGGGATAAGGCACACTCAGAAAGTGTTAATTTGTTACCTGAAAATCTCTGTGCTTCAGTTCAGCATTTCCGAAATGTCAAGAAAAATGTTTCCTATCAAGACTGTGATAAGAATATATTCTTTAGTTTTCTCTGCATTCCAATGGTGCAATGATGACTGCCTGTTAGGAAGTTAATTGTTCTGCCTTCAAAGCAGAATCTGAATAGAATGCTGCAAGTACCAAAGCACAGAGTGAATAATGAGAGTAAAATAAGATGCTGCATATCTGCTTCTTAAATTGAGATGTGCATCCTGTGTTCTGAATGAAGGATGAGTCTAGTGGGAAAAGGTATTTAGCCACATAAATAGAAAATGTATCATACAAAAAAAAAAAAAAAAAAGAATAAGATTGTGACATTTCTTTTACCAGTGATTGAAAATATATATATATTTTAATCTAGTTGGGAGTGCAAAATATGTAACTTCATTTTGATGGAGGTGTTTAAAGAAATAAAACTGCAGATGACCTTTACATACAGGACATCATCTCCTCTAGTTGTTGATGTAGGGACCACCGTTCATCTTTTCTAGGGTGTGGTGGGAGGTAGTGATATTTTTATGTAAGTTTAGATAGAAAAAGGAAAATGGACAATATGACAGAAGGAAAAGTAACTATTCTTTAAATTGAAAAATAATAATTCATTGTAGGAATACGATTAAAATAGTGTGATTACTGAATAGTACAGTAAGACATTTCTGTCTAATGGTGTGGTCTACATATCTGTCTTTAATAGCAGGAGCTTTATGTGAGTGCTGGGTTATGCTACCAAAATTAGCCTACAGCAGACATCGTAACAGCTCTATGAGTGTCAGAGTGTTTTATCTTGAGGTATAGTGAAGTCACCGTGATGGAATATGATCTTTCTGGTACTAGTTAGGGAATTAGGAACCACGTGTAGGTATTGATTTTAATATCACTTCACAGTGACACAGCAGCTTTCTTACTCAATTTTCTCAATTTATTAAGTGAAAGGAAAGCATTTGTTAGGGAGCTAGTTTGTGCAAAACCATAGCATCAGTGTACTGGTTTGTTTTGCTTCTAGCATATACCTTCCAATTACATTTTATTTTATTGTTGACCTTAACTGACTCTTTACTGAAAAATTCAATTCTTTTTTTACTTATTTGAGGGGGAAACTGAGCTGCTTATTCAAGGGTTTACACAAGTGTAGATATTCCTCAGAACAGAGAGGAAAATATTTTATATTTAGATATTTTTATTTGTTTTAGTAAGTTTTTCTGTGGTTTTGGATGTGTTTTTTTTCCCTAGGTTGTGCATGTTATCAGTGGATAGAGGCAAATTAGGAAATTTTCATACAATGCCGATTCCCTTTTTAAAAAAACAACAAAACCAGAGCTTTTTGTTTTCTTGCTTTAACTTAAGTTTTATCTTTTCTGACTGAATTACTTCTGAATTATAGGAAGAACTTTTTTGTTGCCATTGAAGTTGTAGGAAGAAATATGGAAGAAATATTGAACTGTACGAGGAAGTATTTTGCTGGTCAAGTTACTGGATCAGTTTTCTTGAGTATCTGGCGACAGGCTGGCTTGGTAGGCCTCATCCTAAAGAAGATCCTTGTAGAAGATGAGATTCCCTGTAATATGCATGTGCAAACAGAAATGGATAAATTGCTTTTGAACATCAGTAGATCATAGAAGAATCATAGAATTGCTCAGGTTGGAAAAGACCTTAAAGATCATCAATTCCAACTACAACCGAACCATACTACCCTAACTCTTAACAACTCACTGCTAAATCATGCCCTTAAGCACCACATCCAAACTGTTTTTAAACACATCCAGGGATGGTGACTCAACCACCTCTCTGAGGAGTAGCTTAGTTGTCTAAACCTACCCATTTTTGCATAATTTTCCTGCTTATCTAATTTATTTCCAATTGAAGTGTCCTACCTTACTTAGTCATTCCTCATAAGAACACTATTTCATACCTGGGTTGAGAGTAGGTCGAAATAGACAAAAAGATTTCAGTTCTGTTATACTAAGATACAGTGACCGGAAGAGCAGAAAATAGTTAAGAGATCAGTAGACAGAGAAAGTAGAATAGTGTGACATCCTGTCTTGTTCTGTAGTCACTTTCATTGTAACTCCTTCTATTTTGTTTGCCTCCTGAACTGTTACTGGTCACTTAGCATGTGTTTTCATGGAAGAACCTGAGGCCAGTGGTAGCTTGTCCTGCTTCAGATATGGTGTGGCCAGCAGGACTTGGGAAGTGATTGTCCACTTGCACTGTCACTGGTGAGACCACGTTTCCAATATTGTGTTCTGTTTTGGGCCCCTCACTACAGGAAATATGTTGAGTTGCTCGAGTGTTTGCAAAGAGCAATTAAGCAAGTGAAGGGTCTAGAAAACAGGAGTTATGAGGAATGACTGAAGGAATTGGGATTGTTTAGTCTGGAAAAGAGGAGTTTAAGAGGATACCTCATTACTCTCTACAACTGAAGGAAGATTGCTGTGAGGAGATTTTTTGTCTCTTTTCTCAGACGACAACTGATAATAACTTTAGTAGTATTTTCAGCCATGTTTTCACCTTTTGTTTACTGGAAAATTTAAGCTACAAACAGAGATCGGTACCCATTATTAACAGATTTCTTTTTTTTAGGAACAACAGGGTAACTTATTTTGAATATGCTCTTGCAAAACTACTTGGTTCTACTTACAGTTATTTAAGTATTTAAGGAGAGAGATTAGAAGTCTTACAGTTCCTCTAAGATTTGCGTTGTTTATATAGATGTAGCCCTTCTGTAGAGATTTACTCAGAGTGGTTTTATTTCTCCATTGGAAGAAATTGTTTGAATCTCCATCTTGCTTTTGCAAAACGTATTTTTTAAAGTACATTAAAATTACATATGTCGTATGTAATTTCTCTGACATACAGGTCCCTTGGAGTTAGTGGAAGCTTTGGAGCATGGAGGATGTCCCACGGCAGGATGTAAAGGAGTTGGGCATGTTAAAAGAGCAAGACATATTGGCCATCATAGGTATGTGCAATGAAAATGATTTTTTTTCAATTTAGTAATGTCTGCATGCATTTTTTTAATTGTTGTTCACAAGAAAACTGATCCTGTCTGGAAAAAAAAATACTAGATTTTGTAAAACTAAATAGGAAATGATTTCAGTTGCCATGGTGAGCATACTGAAATAAACATTAGCAATCTGTGGCTTCATTTCACCAGATGAGATTTCTCAAACATCATTTTTGTCACTATTGATAGATTCTGCTAATCTGGATTTTCCTGTGAAGATTCCATAGCTTGCTGTTTGATTTGCAAAAGGTTATAGACAAATATGTATAAAGCAGTAACTTTTGAACCTTTTGAAACCAGGTCACTAATGTTTTTTATCACTTGAATGTTTTGTTCTGCTCAGCAGGGGTAAAGATTTGCTTGTTGGCTTGAAAAAAATACCAAAATGAAAATTCTGATTCACACATTCCCAAATTACAGCCTGAATAACTTTCTGTTTATACTGAGTGTTTCTAAAGATCATTTTGTTGAACACTTAAGTGTAATACAGAAATGCGAATCCCCCAGGCTCTCCTGCAGTAGAGCTAACCTAGAGAAAGCAGATGTGTGGGAGAATAGAATGATTCATGAACACACCGGGACACGGGAATATTCACTAAGCCAAAATTTTACAGTTTTTGAAATGTTTATAGTATGAGATTAATCTTGAATATTTCAGTAAAGAAAATACAACTACTGTAATATGTTGAGAATTGAATATCATAAATAGCATCAAATAGCATTTTCACAAATCAATTTCCAAAAATTTTCTTTGAATTCTTTCCTTTGAACAATCATAGGATTGTTTGTGTTTGCTAATGTTTGTCACTTTGTGCTTTCTGCTCTACTGTCACTAGAGGATTTCTCTTGGGTAATTTGTTTATATTTTTCAAGAATATTATCAAATTCTCATGATCCAAGAGATAGTGCAAGAGATTGACATTTTTGGTGGCAGAATTATATCCTGTTGATGAGAATTAGGCTACAAGATTTTGGTGGCATATCAGCACTGGTTCAGATTATTCTCACTTTTTTCCTTCTGTCTTTTTCTGTTCGTGTTCTTTTTTTCTTTTTCTTCTTTTTTGTTTGTTTGGTTTTTGTTTGTTTTATGCCTTTCCTTTTGAAAGGCTTTGTGGATCTTAGTAGGGTGTCTGCTTAAATAATCTAATCAGTACTTAAGAGGTACTTGCTCTTTTTTTTTTTGTCTTGCTGAAAAATCTTCCTGGCTTCTTAACTGAAATTCATTTCATATACTGATAGAGTGAATCTTGTATGATTTCTTAATATGTCTGATATGTAAGGCAATAACGTCCAATTTAGGATATTTTCCTTAACATGTTTGCTATCTCATTATTTATAGTCACATGAACATAACCACCATTCTCAAACCAATGCTGAAACTTTAAAAATAAAAAAATAGGAAAAAACTTATGTGAATGTGTCAGAAAAGTTCTTCATTTGTGATCTTCTCTCTAAATACATTTTGGTATTAAAAATTCTAATGTTTCACAGGGAAAGGATGAGTAAGAGAGGTATGTTTAGTTAGTCCATGTATTCTTTGCTTTTATAGCTATATTTTCCACACTATTTAAAGTTATTATACTTACTCATCCTGAATACTGAGAAATGGCAATCTATTGTGTTTTATTTTTATTACTGTCTTAGCAATCCTGTTATTTACATATGAACTGATAGTTCTAAGAGATAAAAATATAACCAAAGAGATTTTTTTGATTGTAAAATAAATTTGCTTTTTCATAGCAAATAAATTAGCATCATAAATATCTTATACTGCAGTTGTATTAGTTTGCTCTCTGTGTTGATGTTTTTTGTGGGTTTTCTTTTCTTGAGTGTTTTTGAGGAAAATAATGAATTTCTTGTTTATCTGGGGTCTGCAAATTTGAGGGTCCAAGTCACCCAAAAAATTCTACAATTGTCCTATTACTTTTCTTCTGAAATAACAAAGACATTTTGAAATTATTGTAATTATCCACATCAGGTTCAAGTCCCTTGGGTCTCTTATCTTGGCAACCCTGAAATGTACTTAACTATGCTTATCTCTTTTTTTTTCATGATGAGGTATGTCTGTCTACAGCATAAATTTCTGAGTGCAGAAGAGATTGTAATTTAAAATGCTAAACAGTTCTGAAATCATGAGAACTTCTTTCTTAGGAAGCAGATAAAAGCCTAGATGATTAATTATGTAATGGGACTAAAGCTTTTTTTTTTTTTTGAAAGCTGATAAGGACTGTTTACCAATCACCAGTTGATCTAGATTTGTTTTGCTGGGCACTTGAAACAGAGACTGGTGTGCATGTCAGTAGCATGATGCAGATTACCTGCATATTTATGATTAAGTTGTATATTGTATGCTTTCTAATATTTAATATATTCATTAAGTCTGAGCTGTAATGCAAAACATTTGGTTGCAAGCCGGTCATTTCTATTTTGTATTAACTCTCCATGAGTAAAGATCAAGTTTGCTTCAGCCAACAGTTCTCAATTGCATGATTTTCAGGCAATTGGAATGGGAAAAAAAAATTAGTTTGTAGTTCATAATTAAAATAATGCACATTGCTAAAGAACACAAGTTAAAATTTGTGTGGTACTATTTTCATACTAGTTAATACGAAAACTGGAAGTTTTCTCCTACCATCAAATAAGGATGACAGGAAGTAAACAGTATGCTGAACTGTTTAGGAAGCATTAGGAGCAAAATGTAAGCATTGACAGCATTTTATTAGAAACATCATCTGTTATGTGAAAGTGAACTGAATGCATCATGATGGAGACCATGTTCTCAGAAAACTGCGGTGCACTGGAAGCCTCAATTCACCAGGATGTTCCACCTATTTGTTCAGTGCCCGTTGAACTAAATCTCATTTGATATTTTTGCCAGTCTCCAGTTTCATTTTCTTTTACATTAAGGGTGTTATCCCCAGACAAATAGGTTTTAAGCTACTGTTGACTCAAGTTTATACAGTTGAAGCAACTTTATGCTAAAAAAGGATGCACAGATGATAAACACGTTGTAAGCTGTTGAGAGCATTTGTATCATTTGTTACTAGGATAGTTAAAAATATTTCCATAAAGTCAACTGAAGTAAAAACATCACTAAGTAAAAATAATTTTTTAAAAGAGCTTATAAAATATTTTTTTTCTTTAATTAAAAAAAATAAAATCTAAGTAAGACAATATTCAGGAATAGTTTTGCTATTATTTCATACCAATACTGGTGATACATAACTTGGATAGTGGTTCTACAGGTGGGAAGTAAGAACACAAAGTTTCCTGTGCTGCTTTCTGTACTTCCTGGGCAGTCAACAGGTTGCACTATACACGCTTCTTCTCATTAATAATCAGTGCATTCTTTGTTTGCTTTTTTTTTTCTTTACTCATGATTCTACAAGAAGAGAGGCTTTTTTTAATGTATGGTTTTTGCTCAACTTATACAGTGCTCACAAAATAGTAGCTCCCTTTCTACAGTATACAGCAGATAGCTTAATTGCTGTGATTTGCTGATCCTACAGAGTTGAAAGGTAGCTGATTACTTTCCTGTGGGGGGGCACGGAGGATGTTAATTTGGGTATTTATTTACTGAAACGTGGGTTGAGCCTACTAAAGCAGCTCAGATGATAATAAATTATCTTCATGGTTTCAAAGATGTGAAGCAGCAATAGAAGATGTCTGACACCATCAGACATACAGTAGGGATTTTAAATGAAGCTGCCACTTCTTGCCATGCTGCCTGTTCGTCTGGAAGAAATCAGTACCCACAGGTCAAGGATATCTGATCAAATTGTAAATGGGCTTTGAACTTCTGCTGTTTTCTGTTTTAACACTGTTTGTGTGTTAAGGCATGAAGTGAAAACTGCAGCAGAAATCCATGTACAAGTTGAGAGAAGAGTTAAGAATCCTAATTTAATTTTTAAATAACCTAATGATCAAGACTTCTGAGCACTTGAGTTGTTTCTAGAACTTAGTAATGTATACATCAAATACTTCTTTATGCGTGAATAATAAGATTAACTTTTTAGTCTTTGTAGTATACAAGCTCAACTGTACTGAAGGCTGGAGGCACTGAAATTCAGGACTGATTGATTGATCTAAAGCCACCTAGCTCATACTGACTGTTCATTCATGCTGTGTTTTGTTGCAACAAAGCTGACAGAGGAAATCATGAGCATTTGTTTTGTTGCTCCAAGTAATAGAAACATCAAAGGACTGTCATGGATTTTTTTTTAACCTGATGTAGCAATTCAAGTGATTAATTATGAAGAAAAACTCATCTGAATTTAATGCTGTAAAATTTCATTTATATTATAACTGTTGTTGACTGAGATTGTTGTTGTTCTTCAGTTTCTGTTTTTGAAGAAAATTCTAAAGGAAAAAAAGCAAAACAAGCAAGTTCCAATGAAAAACTGAATTTCAAGGCTCCTGCTAACTTTTTAATTTAAAACATACTACTGGTTTTGGAAATCAGAAGATCTACTAGAGATGAAATTGTACTGTCAGATTTCATTGTGATGTAAAGCCTATTTAATAATAATAATACGTAGCTGAAGTTAAATAGCTATTTGTTTGTGTTTAGTGGTTCCTTGAGATACTCCTTCAAAATGCTCAAAACATCCCTGTGGGGGATGTTGGAAGTTGAAAGAAGATTACATGCTTTATTTTATCAGTGGCAGAACTGAGATTGACCAGTATATTCCCAAGTTTCTGATAACTGTATATTATCACGGTGGTATGGGTTTGTCACAGTCGGTATATAAATCCCGTTTGTGTTGGCTCCATAAAACCATTTTCCAAATAAAAGCCTACATTTTGCAGCTTATACTTCATTTGAAAGTTAAAAAAGATGTAATTGTGATGCATGCAGTAGTATAGAGGATTAAGAATATTGATCAACATTCCCTAGTCTTCCTCTTTTCTCCCTCATCCTTTAGTTCATTGTTTTTAATTGTTTTAAGGTGTCCAGCAGACACCAGTTCTCAGATAAAAACAGTAGGTAGAAAATGACAGTATAAGTATATAAACAAATCTATAGTAAATGCCAAATTCTGCTTAAATAAGTTGATTAGAATAGCACGAGCTGTATTCTACTGACATGCTTTTCCTCCATAATTCAGGGTCAGCACAGCTATGTGAGGATTTTAAAAATGTAGATATTGTCTTGCTCAAATTAACCAACTGAAAAAAAATCAAACATGCTGATAGAATCTTGTTTTGATAACCCCAGCAAGATACGACTAACTTGGGTAGTGTAGCCCTAGGGACTTTCCTCTTTTTATGGTACTGCTGAAACATAAATTGCCACTAGCTTTCTAGGTAGGTTGGTAAGACCAAAATTAGACCTTCTGATAGGAATTGATTCATATTTGCTGTGAATCCCAAGCTTCATGGGTAAAAGATCAGGAAGATGTACAGCATATTTTGAATAAAAGGCCTTTTCTAATGCTCTGCTTTGTAGAATTAACATGATACTTAAAGCTGATGGGTTTTTTTTTGGTGGTGGTGGTGTTTTTTTTTTTTTGTTTTTTTTTTGTAATTCAGAGGTGGCAAGGCATGTTGCTGGCAAGGTAGACTGTTGTTTCTATTAGGCAGTCCTGTTTGGAAGTCATTATCACTGAAACAAAAGATTGACACGGGTTTTGGAAAGACAGTTGTATTATTGAAAGAAAATAAACAAAAACCTAGAATGTAGGTTTTGAATTTTTTTACATTTTAGCATTATAGAGGTTCTTATAACAATACAGATAGGTAGGAAAATCATAATTTTATAGTTAGCATAGTAGCCTACTAAGATAAACATGCTTTATTTTTGGTTAAAGATATTTGAAAGCTGGGCTTTTTGTTGTTCACTGTCATGACATATATATAGCTTTCAGAATTTACTATATTATCTTTGAAGTATACCTCAGTGTGTATTATGTATTTAGGATATTATACCTGTGAGTATGTTGACTGAATAACCAGTTGGACATTCCGTAGATAAAATTTTAGTTCAGTCTGGTGTGTTTTGCATTGCTGTTGTTCCATTACCTAGCTCTTGGGCAAGCACAGGTTTTATGACATTGAGAGGTATCACAAAAGTTTTCACATTTGTTCAAGTCATTATCAAAAGCACAGTGTCAAATTATCTCACAAACGGGACTGCAGTGAAACAGGGGATGCTGAATGATAGAAAAATGTATGAAAAACACACTTCTAATGCAGCAAAAGTCTTATTTGAAAAGATGGGGCATTCTCTCTCAGCAGTGAGAGAAAGTAGCCATACCTCATACTGCCTTGCTTTACAGTCTCTTTGTGGACACTATGTCTTGCATGGAAAATAGCCATAGGAATGTGATTGTGTTATTTGGAGTAAGAAGTTTATATCAGAGGCATCTTGTATATTATGTATAAAATGCCAAGAAAGCTTTGCGAGCAGGCTAAACATTCATCAAGCAATTTTCCAGAACGTATGCTGTAATATAAATTAATATAATTTATATTCCATAAGTTGATGTAGAAATGAAATATGAAAAGTGTTCAGGTTGCAGTTTTTAATCAGTATATTTATTAATATTTTCATGTCTGACTACTTGCATTTTTTCTAATCTTTTCTATGTAAATTGATTCCATCCGCTTCTAAAAAATTGGTCTCAGATGTCATTTTATTTGAACTAAGTTGAAGTCTGCAAAGTGAATGAAATTAAGGAACCATTTCTCTTTTTCACCTTCTAGTGCAGTCAGCTGCCCATACTCCGAGATGAACTTGAACAAGGAAAGCCTCCTACCTGATCGGCTCAGCGGGGAGTTGCCTGCAGCCAATCATGTCCCCAGAAATAGAAGAGTGGAAGCAAGGGAAAGATCCCCCTCTCCTATAATCAAGTAATTCTGATTGGACCCATGCCTATGACCAGCTCTGGTGCTTTATTTCAGTGTTGTGTAGTATAGTTTGTAGTTGTGTAACGGCTGGATAGTTTCAGGAAAACCTGTCTATTTATCTGCATTTTCATTTACAGGGAAGGAATGGTTTCATCAGTGCTCACTGAAAAGATCACTGACTACTACTGATTCTACTATGTGTGATTTAACAACTTTTCAGTTTCTCATTCAGTTTAACTATGTAAGCTGGAATTTAAAATGGGTTGTTTGCCCATTGGTTTCACTTAAGAAAATGATTTATTTGCGTTTCTTTTATTTGAGGGGGTGGCCTTACTGACATGGATGTAAATTAATGTTACTCTTTGAATAACCACTATAAATTCTGCCATTATTGTTGGAGTGGGGAATTGAATTACTGGGTGTGAGTTTTGCAAGAATACGCATAACTCCATTGCTGAAGCTTCTTGAAGGAGTACTGTGAAAACACAAATGGATGTGATGCCAAGATGATGATTTCTAACAGAAATTGTGAATGCAAACTCCTGTGCTCATTTTGTGTTAGAGAGATGTACAGTTTTAGAAGGAATGGAGAAGAGAGGCTTCTTTTCACGGGCTACATTAAAGTAAACATGAAAATGTGAATGTTTATCCTGAAGATTCCTTCTATGTTCCTCTGTTATGACCCAGTATTTTCAATGGTATTTCAAATGAGATTCTTGGAGTTGGTTTCAGCTACATGCGTTAAAAGCAACATATTCAGCTGTCACTGAGCACTGTTTGGTTCAATTGTTCTTGAACGTCTAAGATTGTAGAAATCTGAAGTAACCCTAATTACCCTAATTACCTTCTGGCAGCTAGCCTGAATGTGAAGCCAGTGACAGTTTCACCAGTTTTCTCTTTAACAGGGACAGCATCAAGCACTTCTGTTTTAACAGTCCCAGCTGACAGACTGCATAACATTTGTAGGGTCCTAAATGAGTCACCATATATTGTAAAAGATGGGATAGGAGGAAAATATGATACTTCGAATTCTTCTTATGTTACAAATATTTGAAATGAAGAGTTTATTATCAAAAATAACATTAGGCAGATTGAACAGTAATGCTGTTGAATTTCCTGCAAATTTTACCTTTAATAAGAAATACTTTGTGATTTAAAGTTTTGTGGTTTTTTTGAGAGTCTGACATCTACTATTCTGTTGATGCTGAGTGAGAAATTTCTGTGTATTCTTCAAAAAACAAAACCAAAAAACCCACAACCTTATTTTTTTTCAATTACACTGATGATTCTTTATCCATAAAGAAAATAAAGTGAACAACAACTCAACTTCTCTCTTTTTAAAACATTTTGTTAATTTATTCTAAACAGTGACAGAAAATGCCCGAGCCCTGGTCACATAGGCACAAAATCTGCAGCTCATAATCGATCATCTGGGAAAACTGTATCAGAAACAACTAAGCAGGAAGACAGAGAAAGTGCATCTCCTTACAAGAAGTCCCAGTTATGTGATGTGAAAGAGAAGAAGCCACCTGGGTAACTATCAGTTCCTTTCAAAGTATGGGTTGTTTAGAGACTATTTAAAATGCAGCTTACTATAAATGCAGTACAGAGGTTTATCTGTGGAACTCTTGGAAGCAGTGGGGAGGAAGAAGAAAGTTCTTCATATTGGAAGAGATTCTATTGTATTAGAACTAGAAAGCATGGTGTATCACAATTTATTTAAGAAATAAGTAATACATATCAGAAAGGATAGGAAAAATACTGCAAGTCAGAGGAATTACTGAGAGTAATCTCTTAACTCTCATGCTTAGAGTCTTTTTTTGACAAAGAATGGCATGAGATAGTAGTACATTGGAAAATAATATTTATGATATTATATGTCATTATATATATATATATAATGAAATATATATATATATATAACTGAAAATATATATATTTTCAGTATCAAAGATAGCCTATATATATATATATATAAATAACTGAAAATCTAATACACTTCTGTGGGGAAATATGTGAGGCAACAGCATTCCTTTTCCTATTTAATTAGTTATACCGTCAGTGCATTATTTTATTTATTTTTCTTTCCTGAACTAGTATTCACACTTTCCTTTAAGACAAAAGGTCCTGCAGTAATATAAGGTTAAACTTTTATTATGATTATTCTTTGCTGTCATGTTTTCTTTAGAACATTCTTTCACATTATTTCTACCACCTTTTGGAAAAGATCTATTAGGAGCATCAAACAGTGTTAATATATCTTTATCACAAATAAATAGCTTTAGTTAGTCACACTCCATTGAATTTGAACAGCAAAAAAAGACAGAATGACAGTAGTGTAGTTTGTGTTAGTTGTCATTCTGCATTTCAGTCATATGTATAGTAAATTCTCTTCTTTTTCTTCTGGAAATAACCACTGACTTTACTGAATATCTCTAAATTAATTGAAGAACAATGTGTATGGTCTTTTTTTTTTTTAGAGGGTGTTATCTTTATGAAGCCCTAAAATAGCAGATAACCGTGCTATCGGTTCTCTCATTTTCATTCAGAGAATAACAGCTTTGTGCCAACTTTGAACTGCCCAGAGGCCCAGAGGCTTTTTGAGTTGTTTGAAGTGTTTGAATGCACTGATGACTCTCTGCATTTTATCATCTAGTTTTCCACATTCTTTATATTCTTTATATCCAGCATAGCCAGGGAGAACTTTAAGTTGACTAAGCTTCCTTTTAAACAGGTATGAGAAATGGTATTCACAACATTAGGTATATTTGAACTACTAGAGTTATTAAATATTGAGCATCTGGTTATTACAATACCCAGAGGATATTTTCAGATGTTTATTCAAAGTACATATGCATTATTGAAGACAGATATGCCTACTTTTGTGCTCTTCAGCAGCAGAGCTCATTGTATGGATTTAATTATGTTTGTCTTCAGTATAATTGTGTATGTCTTTATGTTCCAGGTAGTGTCATGTTTCATAGAAGTACTTGATTGAGGAACCAACCACATACACAACAAACCATAAGATTTATTTTGCTGTAAACCTAAGTCATATTCAGCTAATTTCTAGTTCCTCTTTCTTTCTCTCTTCACTTTTAATAGATATAAATGTAAGCAATGGAATTAAAATGGAATTAAATCGTGTCTAATGTAGTGTGTGGCAACTCTGTCTATAGCAGAGGGTTGTAACTGGATGATCATTAAGGTCCCTTCCAATCCAAGCTATTCTGTCATTCTGTGATAAACAGATCTGTTTCTTCTATGGTTTTGTGTTTTGAGGTTAGCTAATCTTGATGGCTAACAGGATGTTAGCTCTAGTTTGGTTTTTTATCAGTGGAACACTGGTGAAGATATTCTTGTTGATTGCTTCTCTGTTATTTAGTAAAGCGTGAGTTCATATGGGTAGGTTTCTTGTAGTCTTTAAGGACTTTTAGTCTGGTGGCTGTTTTAACAAAATGTTCCTTATGTACCTAATATCTCTGAGAGCTCTACATCTGTGATGATTTAGCAAGAATTGGCCAGTGTCCTCAAGTTACTGAAAGAAAGAAAGAATGCACACATAATGTTAGCATGTTCATATAATCTTCATTTCTATAAGAAGCCAGGCTGGAAATATCTCATGAGAGTATGAAAAAGAATTTCTCAATGGGTGGCTTTAAAATGAAAATATCCTCCTCCCTCCCCCCCACCCCCTTTAAAAGATCTCTTATTTTCATTTCTCTTGCCCCGTTTTTCTCAATAAATTTCCCCTCTTTGCAAATGTTTGGATTGGCAAAGCTGAGGGTTCAGCCAGAATTATCAAGCGAAGAGTGATTCTATAAGAACCACTCAGTAAGAAGTAATGCAAAAACTAAAAAGTAAAATACTTCCAGTGGGGTCATTAACAGCTGCACAGTGATATGTCAGTACAGTACAGGAGCTGGGATGGAAATGATGGTTGAGTTGAGAAAAATAAATAGATAATGTTTAAAACAGCTCATGAAAATGGCCTGGATAACCAGTAAGGCTTCATAGGAGATACAACTGTATATATGTTCTTTCAGTCTATCCATCTTCTGCCATGGACACATCTATTACTTCCATTTGCACGGCAATTTTCTAGTTTCAATTATAAAGAAAAATGTATTGATCTGATTTATGTAATTTTAGTTTATACTACCCTTGAGCCTTAATTGCAAAATTCATGTCAGTAGGCATTAGTGTTGCCATCTGTGTAAGTCAGAAATTAGATCCTCTTTTTTTGATTTTATGATGATACGACATCCTTTGTGTGGGAATTTTGCAGTGTTAGTAATGATCTAGCATTGTTAGCAAGCAATGTCATCATGCTTAGTGATTTTTATGAAGTATTAATAAAAATTACGTCTTATTTTCGTCAGAGGAGTACAGACAAAGGACTCTGTAAAGAACAAAGAGTGTGAAGAAAAAGAGACAGGAAATAATCTGCTCATTTCAAATGAAATTAAAGGTAACTTGTCAATGCTTCTTTCATTTGATATTAAAATCTGCAGAACTAAAAAAATTTCTTGTAATTCTTTATAAAACTGCATTGCAACTTACTTTTTACATTTGCTCTTTGTATCCAGTTGTTGTTGGTGTTTTTTTGTTTTATTGTTTTTTTTTTTTTTTGACAGTAGCACTTCCAGTGTTGTGTTTACCTTATAATCATCAAAAGGTTTCCTAGGAACTTTATTGCAGTTGTAAAGATGAGTGCAAACTGAATGCTGACATAAAATGTTTCCTTTCACTGACTTTTACAAATAGATAATTAAGCCAGTCTGAATGGTTCATTTATTGCTTCAAAAATGTACTGGAAAAAAGTTGAAGATGCAGAGTTATACATTACAGTTATAACTTAGTGTTAAGGTGACCTATTAAGTTCCATCTCAGTCTGTTGTGCAGTTTAATTTCTAGCAGCTTGTGCAGAATGGGTGTTTTTCATGTAAGTTAAAGAGGGAAGGCTAAGATCTTTACTTCATTAAAAAACTGGAAACTGTCCAGTTGAGGACCACCAAGATCATTAGGTGGTGGTGCATGGTGGTAGAGTAAGAGGCATGCTCATAAGTTGCTTCAGAGGAAATTCTGTCTGGATATAAGGAAGAATTTCTCACCCTGAGAAAAACTGAAATAGGCTGCCTAGAAAAGGACTTAGTTTGGCAAGATCCTTAATAGCCTAGTCTAATGCTTTGTTCTCAACAGAACATCATAAGGTCTCTAGAGATCCCTTCCAACATGGATGTGGTTTTTGTTATCCCATTTTCTATAGTTACATATAGAAATGCTTCATAAAGCATTTTGATTTTGTCAGAAAGGACTGTTGAAGTAAAATTTCACCAACAAGCTTTGCTTACTAGTTACGATGCTTTTCTGTGAAGGGTCCTGCATTATTTGATTTGTAAAAGCTGGAACACTTCCTTAAATTACTGTTTAACAAAGTGATCCTTTGTCTCCTTTCTGTATATATGTTTAATGCCTGTTTCATGCTATAACCAAGGAGCAGTAGGTGGGGAGTTTTACTTCAAATAGGTGCTCCTAACCTGACCTAAAACACTAATGTAATCACTTTCTATGTGGGATAAATTATATATTCCAAACCAATCATACTGTGCTGGCAGAAATCTGTAATAGGAATTTTAGTCCTAGCTGTTGGCCACCAATCTATGAAAACTAAAACAGTAAGAATGCAGATATCTGTGAATAATAGCAGCTTCCTGGAACAGAAATAGAATGGAGCCATAACAGAAGTGAGCAATCCAAACAAGAATATCATAGAGATTTGTGATTGTATGAATGATTGCTAATAAGGAATACTAGATATTGATTTGTTGTTGATTGTTTCATTCAAAAATGAATTCCAGAGGTTTTCCACAGTTTTACTCAGCAACTGGGAAGCATTCTGTCCTGAGTTCATAGCAGACGTTGCTTTTGCATTTGCAATGGATCTAAATAAACATAGATGTCTTATGTAGTTTGACATCATTTAAGGTGTGACTCTTCACTCCTTCCTCCTACGCACATCTGCAACTGCTGCTGCTCTCCAGACAGCAGCAGCAACAAGCAGCATTTGGCTGAAGCCACTCTCCCACCTGTGCATTACCTTTGAGGCGAGTGGGATGGGATCCTCCTTCCTTCCATGATGGATAAGTGATATAAAAAGGGAAATGTCCTTGCAAAAAAACCCATAGAATCACAGAGGAGTTAAATGCTGTTTTCTAAATAAAACATTCAGTTAAACTGGGAGCAGGGAATTTGCAGACATTTGTGGGTATTTTTCCTCAGAAGAACTGAAAAACTTTTTGTTGTGGATGAGACATAAATGTGTGGGCTGGAGCTGTTCATCTGATTCACTTAGAATTTTATAGCAGTGCAGTGCTGGTTTTGGTAAAGTTTTACAGCTCAGCCTTGGCATTTAGTTAGTTCTAGTAGTACTGTATAAATGTTATAAGTGGGTGTTATTTATTGTATCAAAATATTTAAAATTATGTGACCTATGGTGTGATAGGCCAACAGTTGTGTTGGCATAGCATTATGTTGTATTGAAAGAACTTTTTCCCTTGTAAGAATAGTTATATTTATATAGAACCAATATAATCACAATCATACTGAAAGAAGTCTTAAGGTACTTTTTTCTGGTGTAAGCAAAACCGTACAGCCTTGTTAGGAAGGCCCATATATATTAAAAGAAATGAATATGATTTTACTGTGACTGATCTCATCACTGATTGAGGGATTTAATGCTTGTTTACTACTTTCTCTTGTTGAAGTTATTGAAGAACCCAATACCCAGAGGTTTCTGTCTCAACCAGTTGTTGTGTCGTCAAAGCTGCAAATCCCTGGCCTACCCTTGCGCTGGGAACAGCAAAGCAAGCTCCTGCCAAGTGTAGCTGGGATCCCAGCCAGTAAAGTTTCTAAGTGGAGTACAGACGAGGTAGGTTTTCCTTGTATCTTTTGTCTCACTGCCAACATCTCCAAATTCTTAGTTGATTCAGAGCTACAGATTAACCCAATAAATTACAAATGATACCTCAGAAGATTAAAGTCAGCTAGACCAACAGATCCACAAAATGCCCATTCAGCTGCCATCCAGTCCTGAAAGAGTATTCATTTTGTATATGTATAATATAGGTGTAAGCATACCTAGAGATATGTAGATAAATGTATATGTATATATATAAAAACAAGTAAATTTATGTGTATATTCACTGAGTTTAGAGAGGGAAAGAAAAGTGCTAAGTGTATGGCCCAGCAGGTGCTCAAGGTCTACACTGACGTCTAGCAGCATCACAAATATTTTGTGGAAGAGTATACTGGTCAGCTTGAACTGAGGATTATTCCCTATACATAGTTTGGATATGACACACTGTTCTAGAAAGTTAGAGTGTAGTGTGGAGTGTGATAGTATTTTGATGGTCAGAGCCCTACCACTGTTCAGGTGTGTAGTCATGCTTGGGCAGAGAAGGTCTAGTCCCTGCTTTGTTTTCAGAGGTGGCTGTAAGTGGAGCACCTTTCTGCAGATGAAACAGTTGGATTTTCTCTAACCAAAGAAAAAAGAAAATTGAAATTTGATCAAAGATTTGCTAATTCTTCTGCTGTAAAGAGAGAAGAAGAGAAAAGTCAGTAACTAATCTAGTTTGTGAAAAGAGAATCAATAATAGAGGACTCACGATTCTGGATCTTCCTGCTAGAGTAACTGAGTGATTTTGAGGGAGTATCTATATTCCAGTCTTGGATGTCCTGTGCACAACAGTGACACGTGCTCCAGTTTGCTAATCCTTCTCTTTACATGTACAGCTCTGTTACCCCATGCATTGACAGAATGTGGAAGACTTAAACTGAGGATGCAAAAACAGCTAAAAACCATTGCTTTAATGCTTGTCAGCATTTAAGATTACTTTGAGAAAACACTAGTCTTACTAAATCTGTCATTTTATTCTTTGTGGCAGGTCTCTGAATTTATACGGAGTTTACCAGGATGTGAAGAGCATGGCAAGGTATTTAAAGATGAGGTGGGTACATTTTATTTCAAAAAATTACGAAGTAGAAAGCTTATTGGAAAGATTAATAAGACACGTAAGAAGTGTTTGGATGAATTTTATGTTTGAAATCAGAAGCAAGTATATGGACTGTCAGGTTGTTTTGCAGCTAATGGGGTAAGAAGAAAGAAGATAAAGCTAGCTAAGTGTCTACCAGGTCTTATCTGATAACACTTAATCTTGAAGCTTTTCCTCCTGACATAGCCAGTTTATCAATGTGATTTGAATGCTTCTAACTAGGTTAAAAGGAGTGCGTTCTTACTTTGTGAGCATGCCAGGTGTGAATTTCTGGAATCTGAGATAGTTATACCTTAGTTGTCATTAGCAAGTGTGAGGGCTTTTCAGTACAGTAGGCCTTTATAATCTCTATTGGCTTTTGTGTTTCCTCTCAGAGGTTTGTTACTCCTAGTACTTCTTCATTCCAAAAAGGCTAATTGATCACAGATTGACAGTGCAAATAATTCAGGTGCTTATCCCCACCAGGCCATATGAATGGGCAAAGTGTGAAACTGTAATATCCCATGTCATCCACCCTTGCTAGCGGAGAATAACTGTGGTACTTAAACTTGAGAAGGTAAATGCACCTCCTGAGTATGGCCCTGCTAATCCTCTCCTGTGACAGAAGTTTCCAGGCTGTGATATAGATTTTAATTATAGTTTCATATCTAAGGATCAACAAGTTGCATCCCTCTGGGCATTTTGCACTTGTTTAGATTTTAGGCATTTTACAATTGTATCTGCTATGCAGACCTAGTTCATCTTGCATCACTTAGGAGGACTCTCCGAGAAGTTTAAAAATCAGTAACAGCTGGGGCACTACTGATTGAATCAACAGATGGGAAGTGCCACAGAGATGGATAAATCCCAAATATTGTTGTTTTCAGACACATAAGAAAATTCTTGCCCCCTCTAGGGGTTAAGCTCCATTTGTCTCTCCAGGACCATCATCTGCCAGTGGACTGGCTGGCATCTGTACAGTTCACAGAGAAGTCATACACAACTACTAATTCTAACTGACACACAGGCATGAAAGATGCTCATTCTGGAATGCCCTATCAAGCTTACAACAGAAGGTCTTTCACTAGGTGGAAGGTGTTGGTTCAGACTTCTGCTGTGGAGATGAACCCCTATCCTTATGTTATGAAGTTGCAAAAAGCTGGGCACCCCCACACTGCAATGCTTCTGGTTCTGAGCCCATCCAGTTTGGCTTTGTAAACAAAACGAGTTGAAGTAATCATGATAACCATGTGGTGCTGTTCTCACTGCCGTGCTTCTTAGCTTTCAGTGCTGCAGTGTTCTGCCTTAACAGCATGTCTGATTCAGAAAGCTCATGTCCTGGTCCAGGAAATGAATTACACTAGTTCTATCTCAAGTCAGTATCTCTAAATCTAAGCAGTGTTCCCAGTTAAACACAATTGACTTTTAGGCCTAGCTGTCCGCTTACACTGAAAAGTTGCTGAAGATACCAAAGATACTGAAGGTTACCAATAAATATTTGCCCCAGTTTGCTCTGGCATGTGAGGGCTTTGGTTCTTCATGTTCTGATTTAGAATCCTGGTGACAGAATGATTTGCTTACAGGAGAATATTCTCTTGTAATGTTTATTATAAAAAAAAAAAAACAACACAACAAGAGAAAAAAAAAGTGTTTTTTTCAAAAGTTGCATTTGTATCAGAGGCAGTTTTACCTAGTCTAACCCGTGTTTACATTTGGGGCATTCATATTAATTTCCTATTGAATGGACAGAGAAAAGTGGCCTGAAGAGGGATCCAGTTCTTGAGCTGGGAATGAAATCTGTAGGCTTGCTTTTGAAGGCTTGCATATAAACAAGGAAAAGCTAAAATGGCAAAATTAGTTACTATGTTGCAGTACTGCTGAATTCTACTTCATTGACCTATTTTACATTTTAGTAGCTTTTATTTTATAATGTCAGTATGAAAATAAAGACTGGCTAGCTAAAAATTAGCCAGATAGTTGTTTTCAAGCAGAAAGAGGATCATCATCCTGTTCTTTTGGACCAGCTAATCTGTCTAAAAAAGTTATAGCAAGGCTATCCTGAAGTTTGAAAGCAATTGTATTCAACTATTCTTTTAGATTGTTGGGTAAATTTTCTCTTTATGTTTTCTGAAACATCTATACTGCTTCACTGTCAGACCTGTTAATAGCTTTGTGTGTTTTTCTTTTAAAGCAAATTGATGGAGAAGCATTTCTGCTAATGACCCAATCAGACATAGTCAAAATAATGAGCATTAAACTGGGACCAGCCCTAAAAATCTTTAATTCCATTCTGATGTTCAAAGCTGCAGAGAAAAACTCACACAATGAACTTTGAAGATAATGGAAAACGTGTACAAGCCAGCTTCCTCCACTGGAGCTCATGTTTTATTCAAAGCACAAAGACTCACCAGAATTATTGAGTAAGGACTCTCAGAAAGGAAGAAAAGTATGTTCTGCACTGGTGGACTATTCATATTCTCCTAGAGCCAGTATACATCTGAATCCTTCTGGGAAGTGCTCACGCTTTTAAGAAGGTACTTTTTAACAACCAAGTCAGCTTGTCTTATTTACCAAACTAATGCGCTAATTCTCCATGGAGGGTTAGGATCTCTAACGTTCTCTGGTCATCAAGAAAAAACCTTCATTGATTATTTATGCTGTATTATATAAGGGAACATTAATATTTTCTAAGAATTCCTGAATTCTGCTTCGTGTACCCATTTCACTTTTCGGTAGCTATTATTTCTTACCATCGAAATAAAAATTGGTTAGCCAAAAATTAGGCTATGGGTAGCCAGATGAGACTGTTATGGCTAATGCAAATTTGTGCCATAGTTTAAAATGAAACGGTTAATGTTACATATGTGACACTTTATGCTACAGCATATAACTTTACAGATTATAAAACTGTCTGTTTGCTTGTAACAAAACAAACCTTGTTGGGGTTGAAATTATAATGCTTTTTTGATAACTGAATGTTTTTACTTTTGCACGATTACAAAAATGTTATGTGAGTTTTTCCACCAGCATCTTTAATGTATTTTACCAAAAGATCGGTATAGAGAAGGCTGCAACTGAAAAATAAAGTTTGACTTCATAGAAGACATTCATTTATGCACAATAGAGCCCCAGCCTTTTACATGGGAGCCTGCTTACAGTCCTTCCACACATGAAGGAAAATACATGTATTTTGAGGTAAGACTATTAGCAAAAAAAGAAAATATATTTATTCATGTCTGCACATGCTAGTCTCCAGTATACTTACCAAAACAGTGGAGAAAAACAGTGTGCTAAATCTAGGACTGCTACTCTGGCTTCATATGCAACATAAGCTTGTATTCCTAGTGGTGGAAAAATTATTTAACCCACCACTTTCCAGTTGAAAAATCTGATTTATAAATGAAGCATAGCTGGAAAGCCAAAGCATGGAGGGAAAAGCTACTTAAACACATATCCTGCGTAGGCATGAACTAGGTAAAAGGCATGGGTTTCACCAGGTCATTAGCAAGGCTGCAGATTCCACTAGCAGGTACTTGGAGGCTTATTATGTCAGGGAAATTTGTTGCACTTGGTATATATACGTAAGATGTAAACCGGATGCACTTTACACTGGAGAAAGCCTAGATACTAATATACCAGAATTTTGCTTTTACAAGAAGAGAGAGAGGAGTTGAATCAAGCTTTTGGCAGCCCGCGTCTTAGTACTGAGGTGGGCAGTTGCTTAGTCTGTATCCATTGCACAGAACTTGGAGAATTTTAAATCTTCCCTCAGATTTCACTAGGCTGTTCTTTGGCTGAAGTTCCTTAAGATTTCAAGAACCCTTTGTGCCCCTTCCAGATCACACTGGTGACTGGTACCTGCCATAATATGAGGTAAAACAGGGTCAGTATGAAGTAAGTTGCATTGCTCTATTAATTTCCTTCCATAGCATTGCATAAATAATATTTTTACATTTTTTGTTCAATATTTGTACAGTCAAATTGCACTCTTATTGTACTACAATACAAATAAAACCTGAATTGGACCTGTCTGTTACATTCATGTATGCCCAGGATTCTCAAATTAACCTGGATGTTTCAGAGGGTGGTGTGGAGTAGTTCTTCACTGTATTTTATTGTGTTCATGCATCTGAAAGAGCAACTCAGCTACTGCCAGCTGATCTCACCCAAAACATTTCCTAGATCCATAAACTTGAATTTTGTCATTGACCACTGCTGACACGGAACAGAAAATGCTACATTCTTTAGTTTTCTTTCCTTCCATGTAGTTCACTTCCTTGAACTCTCACTTTCGGTGTGTTTTTTTCTCTCATGTGCCAGCTCTGGAGTCTTCAGGGAGAACCCAATGTTTTGCTGCTTCACAGTAATCACTTACGAACATTACCCGAATTTTTATATACCTACTTATAGCGTACTATGGCTTAATGAAATGGTGTAGTTAATTCTCTTTACAAGATGTAGAAAACTTCATTTGAATGATGATCTCTCTATTTAGCAAGAGCATAATCACTACATTCTTCACTTTTGTATGACATGTGATGAGGTAACAGGGCAAACTCTGTTACAAAAACTACACCCAACAAAAGCAGTAGGACATGAAAATTACTCCAACACAGTGGATCTTTGAAATGGTAATCGCAGTGGTTTTCAATATTGTGTTGGAGATGACCCAGCAGTTACATGGCTAAGAATATCCCACAGTTTCCATGAGAGACAAGTGAAAATCCTGAGACTTCTTTCTGCAAGAGTCAGGCCGTTTATTGCAGTATTCTTCTCTCATGCTGCACTGTTCCACTGTAGTCTCTGAGTTGGACTCACCCTTGTGCAATCAGCACTTAAGAAAATGTCTGCAGCTTTCCAAGCCACATGTTTGTGTGTGCAGAATACTGGTGAATGTAGATACTGCTTGGACTGCATCAACATTTCTAAAAACGGTGAGAAATGAAACTCTTTAGCAGAATATAGTGCAGTTAGGTTTTTTTGTTTTGTTTTTTAAAAAGCTATTTACCATCCTGTATATGCAACTAATGCAGTGGTCAAGCTTGCTGGCAGCTGCTACTGTCCATCGCTGTGAGCTTATCCAGAGTCATTCACTATATCAGGATTTTCAGATGTGCAAGGCACTTAAAGAGTTAAGAGGGCTATGGGAGGAAGAAAAGGAGACCATGGAAGAAGAGAGAAGGGCTCCATTTTGTGTGGGCAGACAGGACACGTACCATGTGGAGAAGGCTGATCTGTTATGGGGAAAAAGCTCAGATGGAAAATGAGGCATTTGTTTCCCAGCACAAAAGCTGTTGTTACAAATGCACATGACAGCATCCCAGAAAGTCATTCTTGCTACTTTGAGAACTGATCTCAGAATCCTTATTTAGCAAACTTTGGATTAATGTTAAAAGAATGAAGAAAACATTTTGTGCATTGAGAAGAGCATGAAAACTCATCATCCTCCAAATTATAAATCAAGCCCAGTATTTTAAAACAAAGAAATACATTCAAGCACTCTCAATGATCACATGAAGATAATATAGTGAGAGAGGTAACAAATCTTTAATTTGTGTAAATTCAGAACATTAAGTGCTCACATTAACTTATGAATACATTTTTAAATTCTGATGGTAAAAATATTGTCTTCATTTGTAAAATGCTCTGGGTGGAAAACTGATACATAACACATGTAGTAAGTAAACTAGAAAATCTTATTTTCTCTAATGCTTCCAGAACTGCTTTAGACAATTTTAGATTTTTTAAAAAGTAGCCAGTACAATTTTTAAAAAGCAGACATTGTTAAACATAAATGTTAGAAATATACAGATGCTTTCACTAGAATGAGTGCACTGATTTATCTTCACAACAAGGAGATTTGACAAAATTCCAAACGTTCCTGAGATGAGTACACTAGCAAACACTGGGATGTTTAGGCATCTCTAGCCCTCTTTTTACCTGACCTGGGAGGAATGCTTGAGGGATGTTCATCTCAAAGATCAGGGACACCAGGAATTTCAGCGTCCTTTGGATTCTGCCTGGGCACTGGATATTGAACACGTGAAATGCAGCCACCAGTGCTGCCAGAGCTGTGGTGCAGTCACTGAGCCGGGCTACCTCTTGTTTTTCTATGTACAGAGCAAACCCGCATGAATTCACATTGAAGGGATTTTTAACTTCCAACACTGGTGTCAATACTTTCACCTAAATTAAGAAAAAGAATATTTCAAATGATATCACAGCATCATTTGGTGAACTGTAAGTCGTAACATCAAAAAATTCAGTAAGCCTAGTAATACTGCTTTGAATTTAACCAGCATTTCTGCGAATATTTGCCTTTCATCCAAAAGGCAGGAGAATGTCATCCTTCTCCAGGCCACCAAGAGGCTGAGGGATATGCCCAGGCAGCTCATAGGAGCAAGACCACAGCTGCTGATGCTGTCTCCTACCTCCTCGTTCACTGCAGCAAACAGACTGGAGTCATCTCCAAAGACATCTGGCAGAAGTAAACATGCAGCAGTCATCTTCATATCTGTGAAAGACAAGAATTTTCTGAATTACAAATGAAAACATTCTGGCACTGTGGCATCATCCTGGAAAAACAGACTGTGGCTTATGAAATAACTGACAGCTCAGCAGTGGAACTGCTGCTCAGTTCATTTTGAAGAATAGCTTGTGCCACAGTAAAGGTTTAGGTACCTCATCTGGAAACTGGCCATAGTATTCAAACTCATAAAGCTATCACAAACTCTAGGTTCCAATTGGGAAATGCATATCTTCCTTATCCTTTAGTGGTCCTGGCACCAAGCTTGCTAGAGTTCAAGAAGCATCTGGACAATGCTGTTGATCATGTGGTCCGATTTTTGGGTGTTCCTGTGTGAAGCCAGAAGTTGGACTGCTTATGTGCCCCTTCCAACTCAGGTTATTCTATAATTGATTTGACCTCCTGGAATTATGCCTGTTTGGACAGCAGATGACACTCTCAAGAAGCACTTCTCAAAGATTTTAGCTCAGGTGTAGGGATCTACAGCTGCAGTTCAAGAAGAGTAAATTTTACAAGTAACTCCTTCAAATGTTTTGTCCCTACAGAACTAACCTCACCCCAGTTTTCAGATTGAAAGAAGGTGAGTGGCAGCAGTTTCTTACTCCCTTCTCACAGCCAGGAAGCCAAACACAACATAGAGCTGTGTGTGTGACTCAGATCCCTGCTTTTTAGAGACTTTATGCTATAGTCTCTGAAAAAAAACTATACCAGTTTTTGCTTTCACTCCTGAAGTGTATTTACTCCTGAAGAGACAGGTTACTTGAAAGACAACAGTAAGTACTTCTTGCATTGTTTCACTTCCAGCTTAAAAACAGTCCTTCTCTTTCGAAGGGAAAATATTTTTTTACAAGTGTTCTTCTAAGTTCTTAAAGAAAAGATGTTAACCTCCTTAAAGGCCACAACCCCTTTTTTATTGCTGAGCATGTTGTATGGCATGGAACATCTCTTTGGCTAGTTTGGGTCATCTGCCTGGTTGCCCCCCTCCCAGTCTCTTGTACATATCCCCCCAGTTCTATTCACTGGGAGGAAGAACGAGGAACAAGCTGCCTTTAGGCTGTGCAAACACTGCTCAGCAACAGCTAAAAAATTGGTGTGTTATCAGCATTGTTTTGGTCACCAATATAAAACACAGCACCATAGCGACTGCTCTGAAGAAGGTTAATTCCATCCCAGCCAGACCTAGTACAGATATTTAGAGCATAGATTTGTACTGACATTTTAGAACGTTTTCCTCTGTGTTCTGTTTCAGATGTTCTTGCAGCATAACGTTAATTGGATTATTCTTCACCAGACATAAAGATAATATGCTTTCTGAATAAATCTCCAAAATCTTAACTGTTTTCTGATAAACATCCGTGTGTGTGAGAAGCTGGAACTCCCTAAAAAGCTAAAATAAAATAAAGTAAAATTGTTATTGCAGTGCTTAAAGCCCAAACTGAAAACAAGAAATGAGGTTCATGTTTTGAAGGCAGGGTAAGATAAACAAAAAAAAGACTGTAGGTTGGATGATATCATTTCTTTTCAAAATAGGGAAGAAGTACATGAAGTATCATCAAAGGACTTCCAACAACCCACTGATGTTGTGTGTGGCATGGTTAACACAGGACTGATGCAAAAATATGTTAAAGAGAACAATGTTAATCAATACTTCTGCAGAAACATCCATGAACACCCACAGTTGTGTCACATCTATAATATAGATCAATGCCATTATTAAGTACAGTTCTGTTACCTGATAGGGGCATCTTAAGAAAGGAAATAGTCTAAGAATGTCTTTTAAAGGTGTCTTATCGCAGATCATCTTCCTTCGTATCTGTATTGTTGCATTCATTTTATTATTCACTTCTTTCCAGTTTCTCAGAGTTTTCATATATTCTTGCTTCAGCCAGTTGATGTGTACATACATTGCATCACCTTCAAGATAAGCAGGTTCTTCCTAGCAACAAATCAAGGACAGAATTGTAACAAATCACTTTTCATCTGATGTGGGATATCTTGTCAGTTCACACTGGAGTCTACACCAATGTGTAGTTAAGCTTAGCAGAAGGGACTTAGAGGGCAGCTTGAGTACTGGCTCTGTGAATTGACTCTGTACTGTCGCTCTATCATATACATAGGATCTGTCTTCATGGGGTTCTGAGCTACCAGAAGGTCTCCCGGGCTCAAATTACAATTAGAGGATATGCATGAAGTTCATGTGCCTAGTTTGCCTAATTGTGGGTTGTTTGTTTGTTTGTTTGTTTGTTTTTTAATTAACAGGCAGTTCTAATAATAATAGAATGGCCTGGGTTGAAAAGGACCATAATGATCATCTAGTATCTCAGTGTTACTCTTTAGCAATATTAGCTCTGTATTGCCAAGAAAAATAGGATTTTCTTCTTACTCATCCAGGTGCTAAAAGCAGGACAACAAACTTCCATATTTATACAATTGAAGTATTTACCAGTAAGGAAACCAGAAGAATTAAGAGAAAGAAATCTCTTAATGGAAAGCATTATTTGAGTTGCTTGACAGACAATGTTATTGCATACTGAAGATTTAATTAATGATTTAATTACAAATAAGAGGGGTAGCTATCCAAAGCAGTGTGGCTGTAGCCTGTGGCTTAGTTTCTACCATAGGAAGCAGTGAATGTGCCCATTGAAGCAAGCTGAGGAAACATACACATGCTTTGTTAGTGTCATTACCTCTCTCAAGCTACACTTCAACCAGCTTTTCCCAAATGTATCATTACTAATGCAGCTGTCATCTTTGCCAGTAGTGGCCTGTGGGCCAGAGCCAATGCAAGTTGAGACAGTTTGTTTTGTTTCCCAGAATATTTAAGACATAGCTGAAAAAAATACAACAGTCAAGACTGCTATGCAGAGCTCTCTGTATGCAATTTAATTTTCCATTTTAACATCCTTTTTTTAAATTGTGTATGTGAAATTCCAAGATTTTCATGTACAAGATATAGAAGTAAAACATTGTCTCCTTCCTACTATATGCCCATGAATTTCAATAACCAATGTTATCAAAGAGGAAAGACAGCCCTGAATGCAGGACAGTTAATTACCATGATTCCCCCAGGTACTCCCCAACCCTTGCTAGGCCACTGTTACATCAGCACAGTCTGCTCTCATAAAGGACTTCACTGAACAGTAGTATTTGTGTGTGACTGATTAGACCAGGCATTCCTGTCCTCTTCCTCAGTGCCCAGGAAGAGAGGCCACGGATCAGAAGAGGGGCTCATGGATTTCAAGCATTCATGTTATATTTCATTGCTTCCAGTAAATTTTTTCTTCCATCATTTCTTCCAGTCACTTTTCCAACCCAGGCAAAATTGTTCCTTCTGCAACACCCTGCATTATGTTCAGCAGTTTAACTACTGTGATGCCAAAAGCTATGCCTTCATCTTCTAATGATCTTACAGGATTCAGTAAGATAGAGGTCAAACTGTTCGTCTCTAGTTGTATAGCAACACCATATTCTGTCTTCAGTTGTCCAGACAAGAGACAAGATTGTCCTAAGCTATTTAATCATTCCATGCACAATAGTTGTTCCGTACTTTCAAAAACCCCTGTTATTATCTTTGCATTTTGTCTGATTTCACTAACGTCTTTACAAGACAGGCACAGTACAGCTTAAAACACTAGCTGAGATACTGTGATACCACAGGTGCGTACAGGGGAATAATGCGCTCCCTTTTGTTTCTTTCTTAAATAATTCTGAGCATTCAATGTATTTCTTCAAACAGCTGCTTAGCATTGTGCCAAATGTTCTCCAGCATAATATAAAAATATCATTTGTGAATGATAGTAATAAGCTTAGAGGCCATGATTATCTACGTTATAAGAACTGGGTTTTCTCCTTGTACCTTATTGTGCATCTCTTGGCATTGAATTTTACCAGCTGTTGTCCTGCCCTATTAACTCAGTAACATGAAGTCTTCAAAGACAACCTTTGTCTTTATACCCTTAGTACCATCAGCAACTGTGGTCAGCCAGCTATTCTCCTTTTTCCACACTTAGAAATGTATTTAACTGCATAAACTAAGCATTAGCAATCTTTTCCACAGTACAACCAAACAATTTCTGCTCAGCTCCTGTTTATCCCCTTAGATTATATCTTTTAAGAGCATTTCGAAGGCATGTGGTGAAATCTCTTCTGAAGTGAACTATATAGCTGAATTTCTGATGTCCTCGGGGTTGCTGAATACTTCAAAGAACTAATACCTTTATGAAGCATGACTTCTGTTTACAGAAACTTCACTGATTCTTTCCTAAGTTATTCATCTCTCAGCTCTGCATTACAGTTCTTGTTAATTTGGCAAGTAAAAATAGTAAGTTTATTGGTCAACACATTCCCAAAATTTTGGAAACTGGCATCAAATTAGCTGCCTCCAAGTTGGTACATCACAATTAAACAAGAAGTTTAGCTGGTTTATCCTTGAACACATCTAAAATGTTTGCTCCTTGGAATTTGCTACTGCTCATTTGAATGACTTACTGTGTAACTTCTTTACTGACCCCTTAAGACACACCCTGACATTGCCTATGAAGAGTGGTCCTAGCAATGTGATCTCCTGCACTCCACTTCTGAGGATTCTTACAAGGCCTAACTAATTGCTTTTTTTGTTTGGTTTGGTTTGGTTTGGTTTGGTTTGGTTTGGTTTGGTTTGGTTTGGTTTTTTATGGCTATATACTGTGAACACTGCTGTGCCTGCAGAGTGCAGAATTACAGTCACAGTTTTTACTCTGGAATCTCTGGCTCCAACTGTTGCTACAGACCTCTCTGGGGGCCTGCTTCCCAGGCCCCACTGCCCAAGGAGCAGGAGCCTGCTCAGCTGCTGGGCCTCACGCCCCGGGCTGCCTCCCCTCAGCAGCTGCAGACGCAGGAAAACAGAATAAATCCTGGTGCTTAGCACAAGCCCTGCTGCTCCTAAGACTCTGGTGCTCAGCAGCAAACACCATGGTGAGCCAGTTGAGACCTTGGCTCTAGTATATCTCCATCTGCCTTGGCTTTGCGTGTAGTCAGCCAAGTCCTGAAGAATAGTTAGGTTAATTAATTATTAATTAGCTAGACGACTCCATACGACATTTTTGTAAGCAGCAATGGAAAGGTACCTGTAAAAATAGAGTGTAAGAAAGAAACGCTGTCATTACCCACTAGGAAAAAATAAAGTGATAGCAAGTCAAACTTTGTTGTGTAATTCATTCATTACATTATAGGGAACATGATCAGAAGTAAGTGGTTTTCTTGCAGTGTTCTCCCTGCCTAGAGCAATCATCACCTGTAATCTTTTCATCTTTTTAAGCTGCACTCCTAGGCTGAAGAAAGCTATTGGTAATCCTAAATTATACCTTGTAAATATACCTTGTTTAAACTAGTAATCTGTATAATGGATAAAAATACCCAGCCGTGAAGTACATCTAACCAAACAGTCACATAACAGAACTTCAGAAACCTACGAAGTCTGCACTAGTGCCATTTGGATAGAAAAGAAGGACAGTTTTCTACTGTCCTTAGTAGCCTTCAGTATTTCAGAGATTACTTGGTTGTTTAAGCACAGTAGAAGACAATGTTTATATAAAGGATGCTTAATGATAAGTCTGAAGTAGAACATGTGGTGAGTGCAGAATGTTTTTTGTAATGAAACAGTGTTCTGGAGTTGGCATTAGACACCAAAGTTGCTATGATTTTGGGTTCTTCTTGTCTTCTACATACAGCGACAAGTCTATGCCTCTGTATCTAAGCAATTCATTTCATTTTGTCTCTGTACAGTTTCATTCCAAGTGTGAAATTATACAAACAATATAAACAATATACTGTAATATACAAAGCTACAGAAATACAGATTAGATGGTAATTGAGAGGCTAGAATTACTGCATCATTGCATGTTTCTATTTCCAACTGATTAAGTGCAAGCATGCATGTTTATCACTCAGGAACAGCATAGAGCAGTGAACCTAACTGGTACATTAAGGCTAACAGCAGTGGCTGCCTTTAGCAGAACCAGCATGGAATTTAAGAACGGCAAACTCAGATGTTTATGGATGAGTAGTTGTTTACACAGGCAGCCTAGCTGAAAATGTGAAGGGAGAAAGTATCCTAATGTATAACGTTCATTATTTCTAAGCATGGTTCCATTCACATACAATCCGAAGGCTGTTAATTGAGAGGAAAGTATGTCATCACTTGAATTTTACACAAATAATTTTGAACCTCAGGATTTATTGGATCCTAACAGCAAGATAAATTTTGTCTTTTATGTATATATAAATTTACAGGCTATCATGCTAAGCAGCAAGATGTGTTCAGTGCATAACTTGCCTTATAGCTGAATTTTCATAATCTTCCAACTGTGTTCCTATTTTCTAATTTGCTTTTTTTTCTGGAAAAGTGTAATAACTGAACATTAACTCAGTCACACCTAAATGTGGGACTCGGAATATTTTTATTTTTTTCTGTTAGTTTTTAATTTGTGAACAGGTTGATTTTTAAGGTAAGTAGAAAGGTAACAGAGAGGTGGATTTATTTTGGGAAAAAGAAGTTACCTCAGAGGGACAACATTTTGCAACCTATTTTGCACTAATTTCAAATGAAATGTAAAATCTTTTAGAGTTAGCTTCGACATTTGGGGTGTGAATGGGAACAATCTGGGTTTGGAGAGTTGGCTACTGAACTGGTATGCCATCCCATCACATTCTAACTTTGGGAGAATCTTCTCTGCCTTATCTGTCAAAGCAAGAAAGCTCATCCAGTACAGCAATATCCCAGTAAAACTGTGACAGTAACTTAACCTCTGGTTATTTCAATGCACTGTGGAAAAGCAATACTATATAGACTGAAGACAGATCTACATTAAAGATCTCCTCTTTCAATGTCTAATTAAATAAGTAATCCTTCCCATGGCTTGATTTTCAGTCATGTCACCAGTAACATCAATTTCCATT